TTAAGAATTCTTACTGGTAGTATAAAAAGTGTTCTGATGGGCTGTTATAGGTCAGTTACAACTCAGCAGATGTTAGTGAACTAATGGCCAATTCACACATTCAATTTATAGGATGGGGATATTATGGCACAAAAAACCCCTCAAAATAGCTGCTCTACAGTTTCAAAGATCAACTAGAGTTATTTCTATGGCACTGGTTCCCATATAGTTCTATCTATGTTAGCCGTATGGGACGCGGGTGGCGCTGTGGTGTAAACCACTGAGCCTTGGGCTTGCTGATCAGAAGGTTGGCGGTTCGAATCACTGCAACGGGGTGAGCTCCTGTTGTTCGGTCCCAGCTCCTGCCAACCTAGCAGTTCGAAAGCACGTCAAAGTGCAAGTAGATAAATAGGTACCGCTCCGGCAGGAAGGTAAACGGCGTTTCCGTGCACTGCTCTGGTTCGCCAGAAGTGGCTTAGTCATGCTGGCCAAATGACCCGGAAGCTGTACGCCGGCTCCCTCAGCCAATAAAGCGAGATGAGAACCGCAACCCCAGAGTCGTTTGCAACGGAACTTAACTGTCAGGGGTCCTTTACCTTTAGATTTTTATGTTAGCCACGCCAATGTAATTCTGATCTAATCTGTAGTTTCTGGTACAAATTTACCTGAAGGAGGAAAACATACTTTCCAAAAACAGCAACATATGATATTGTGATCCCTACCATTTCATTCCTATTCCTCCTTTACCATGAATAAACCACAACCAAGTCTACTATTTTATTAATAATTTTTTCCCATAAAATGTGGTACTGAAAACCAGAAATGGGTTTCTGCAAGAAAAAGGCCCAAACTTGTTTTGATTCCACGGGGCAAGTAATTTTTGTGCTTTTAAAAATGTTTTGAGTGCATAATCTTTAAAATACCCATCAGGGAAATGAGCCATAGGGTGTGTTTAATGAATATTCATTTAGAAGCTTGTATTTTGTTTAAGTAATCACACATACAGATTAAAAGATAATTGTGATACAGATGGAACAGTAGATATCAATTTAGCAAATGTTGTAATTACCTCAGTTGTTATTTTATTTAGGAAGTAGGTGTCAGAGAATGATGATTGTGGATCAAATTCTGTGCATATACGATGAGTTGTATTCAGTGGTGTCCTTCTGCTGGTGAAAAACTCTTTGATCTAGCAGAGGCTCCCATCAGCAGAACCGGGAGGGAGACTATTTTAGCCAATTCACCTCTGCATTGGAAGCCTACCACACCACTTTCCATGCTGTGCCACAACCCTCAAGTACAGGCTGAAGGTGGGGAGGTGCAGGTGTAGAATGAATATGCAAAACGTCACCTTCCTTCCTGGATCCAATGATGGAAGTCACATTGGACTGAAGGGTTTTCCATCACTAGACAAATACCATTGGATAAAACCCTAAATTCTTAGCTCCTTCTGCTATTCCATTATACAGCAGAGTTTTCTATATCTCAGTGTTCTGTGAAACGTTCAAAACACTGCAACCACCTCTGTTTATCAAAAAAAAAACCCCAAAAAACCAACCCTGTATTTTATGTGTTTCCATGGACATGGAGATATGTGGGGCATAAATATGGATAACTAATGTCTGGAAAGCAGTGTTTATCAATACAAAACCATCTTTAGATCTCTACACTTGGAAAAGAAACAAAGTTTGGGAGTACCAATATCACAACATTTTAAAATGTCACTGTAAGCTTGACTTGCAAAATCCTGCCCTTGTTGGCCACAGACTCATGTCCATGCCAACACGAAGTTGCTTTTAGCCCCACCACTGAAAATGTTCTACATGCAAGTAATTCTGTTATTCCTTATATCTCATCTTTACTCTCGGGAGAACCCAGAGCAGCTAACAGCAAAGACACAGTATTAAAAACAAAATAAAAGTACATCAGAAGTGAGCATTAAATACAAGTCCAAAGAAAAATACAAATGATGTCACTCTTATTGTGCTCCATAGGCCTGTTTGAACAAATAGTACTGAGTTGCCATCTGGACAGATATAATGTGGGGGATAGTCTGATCTCAGTAGTGAAGGATTTCCACAGCTGCGACACTGTCATTGAGAATTACGCTTTTTCTTCTTTCAAAATTATTGTAATCTCCAATAACTGAAGAAACTGAGTATCCAACTAAGTAATACTCAGGATAGATGCATTGAACTCAAAGGACATAACTTCATTGACTCCAATGAGTGGGTATAATTAACACTGAATATCATAGAGTCAAGATGAATGTGCGTCATATGGTGTAAGATACTGATTCAGACAGGAGCAGCCAAATTACTGTGTGCTGAGAGTGACTACAAAATAAGCCCAATCTTCCCACGCACATGGCGTCTGAAGCGATCAAGACCTAAAAAATCACTTCTTCCCTGGATGTAGACAATAGGCACTCTTACAAGTGAAGCATCTGCAAGTTCATGACTTCAGTTTCTACTTAACTGTGGAAGTGGCTGAGGAATTAGTGTATTACTCTGGGGAGACAATAAAAATCAACACAAGGTCTGAAATGCTGGCAAAAGGATTCAATTACAGCATTATTTGTATTTCCAGTTCTCCCCCTATTGTGTTCTTTCCTTGTGACTTTTCCCAAAGTCTCCCTTAAGCAAAATAGTCTCACCCATTGATTAAAGCACAATTTTCAATGGGCCAGTGATTGAGTTATCTGATAGCTCCTGATGAAAGCCATCAACTGGGACTGAAATAAAAGGTGGAATCGATGGGTTTTTCATTACAAGATATTGACTGTACTGAGTTCCTGAGTGAACTAAATAGAGATCCAATGAGTACATTAAGTAAGCAGCACAGTAAAACACACTGGGGGATAAACTGACTAAAATATATAATCAACCACTTAATTCATGCATATTAATTGGAGAGGTGGTGATTTATTAATTGGTTATCTAAACGGATAGCCCCACCTACATTCCAAAAGCCAAGAGTAGGTAACGACAAATTAAACATGTCACATTCAATTAAAATTTAACAAACCAATGAGAAACCCAAACTACATTCAAAACTAAACCAAATATCAAAGTCTTAATATATATCCAAGCTTTGGATTACATAAAACTCAAAGGACAGCCCTTAGATATCACTGAGCAGCCATGTAAGTATTCTTGACCCTACCTGACTTAATGAGGCACTTGCTATAAATGGCAGCATTAATTAAATCCTACTCAATTTCTATAATATAGTGGTGAGGCATCTTGCTGCAACTCAATTTTTCTGAAATCACAAACAACCTGGGCAGGTGGGTGGGAATGCATCCCATTGTAGCCACTGGTGTACACTGGTGTCAAAGAACCAGAAGAGGTGAATATCATTGGTTCTAATCCTCAGGCTCTGCTGCCTTGGTAACATGTGGAAAGAGAGAAAGAGTGAGCAGAAAAACAAGTGGCATAAGAGGAATGTCAGAGACAGAGAATATTGAAGGAAGCTGAGAAATGGGTGGAGTCAGAGATGAGATGATGATGATGATAATGTATTTATACCCCATCCAATTGTTTATTATTATTATTATTATTATTATTATTATTATTAATACCCCGCCCATCTGGCTGGGTTTCCCCAGCCACTCTGGGTGGCTCCCAATAGAATACTAAAACCACGATAAATACATCAAACATTAAAAACTTAGGTCTTTCAGGACCAGTGTTATGTGGTCTCAGTGGCCACTCCCAGTCACCAGTCTAGCTGCCGCATTATGGATTAGTTGTAGTTTCCGAGTCACCTTCAAAGGTAGCCCCACGTAGAGTACACTGCAGGACTCCAAGTGGGAGATAACTAGGGCATGCACCACTCTGGTGAGACAGTCCACGGGCAGGTAGGGTCTCAGCCTGCGTACCAGATGAAGCTGATAGACAGCTGCCCTGGAAACAGAACTGACCTGTGTCTCCATGGACAGCTGTGAGTCCCGAATGACTCCCAGGCTGTGTACCTGGTCCTTCAGGGGCACAGTTACCCCATTCAGGACCAGGGAGTTCTCCACACCTGCCCACCCACTGTCCCCCAAAAACAGTACTTCTGTCTTGTCAGGATTCAACCTTAATCTGTTAGCCACCATCCATCCTCCAACCGCCTCCAGACACTCACACAGGACCTTCACTGCCTTCACTGGTTCCGATTTAAAAGGGATGAAACTGAAGAAAGAACATGCCTGATACTCTGTTCACATACAATCCATGATTTGGGTCCTCATCATCCCTTTAATAACTGTGCATGAACCTTGGGAAGAGTTAGTCATTTGGATACATTGATCACATGACTATGCCCTTTACCGCTAGATATCATGTGGTCATCCAAAAATTTCAGTGCCTATCACTGGTTCCAAACAGAGCCTTTTAATTGTATGCAAGATTGTGCCAGAGAGTAAGTAGGAAGGTGTGAGACACAACGAACAGGGCCAGCCCTACAATTAAGCAATAAGGAGACTGCTTCAGGTGGCAAATGCTGAGAGACAGCATGTGTTCCTTTCTTTGGGAGGATACAGCTATATGTACAACACAACCTGATCTACACCCCCATAATTAACCTGCTGTCCTCAGATACAATAGCCAATCTAAGCAACTTCTATATGTGGAATATTAGGACAGTGGGGGTGGAGAGAGAGAAGAGATCTTGTCTGCCTCAGGCAGCCCTTACAATGAAGCATATGAGACATCTACAGCTAAACTGAAACCAAAGAGATTTCTGTGCTAATCCCTCCCACTTCACACAATAGCAGACCTAGGAGGATGTGTTTATGAATGACAATACAAAAGCACAAACTTTACTCTCCCCCCCCCAGCCACCCCCCATGAATGAGATGCTCTTTTTTGGGTTCTTCTCCACTGCTTCAGGTTTCTTGCTGTAACAGCAAACCATCTGTGGAAGAAACTACCATCTAGACAGAGCCTAAGTCAAAGGATTTGGAAACAAAAGTCCAAATCTAGAAAGGGTGTCATTACAGTTTTAAAAATAGAAAACTGGTTTTCTCAAAATACTCACTGTCTTTGCATCACTAGCATGTCATTTCGAGGTCCGTGCTCTCTTGTAATCCTGTTGCAACCTGCAAGAAAAGAAAAGCACAACGAAAATAAAGAATGCTAAAAATAGCAGAACAGAGTAAAAATGTAATGGATGTTATGTCATTCTCCTCCAACATTTAGCAAATGGAAAAAGAGACACAATTCTATTCTGAAAGCTTAGCCATTCTTCAATCAACTGTCTCTTCCTGATGGTGTGTCGCATGGTGTCTTGGCGCTGAAGCATGCCAAACCATCTACAGCCAAGATGTCTCCACCTTTGACGCACAAGTTTAATCTCAGAGCAGATGAAGCTGGAACTTGGGGAAATGACAACTCTACTGCAAAAAATGCACACAACAACATGTTTTTAATAAGACACCCCCCCCTCAAAAAAAACCTCAAAGGCAAATTTCTTTTGTACCAGAGACAAGTATTGGAAAATACTAGGTTCCTGGTAAACAGGAGGAATGTCTTGGAATTTATAAATCACAGATACACAATAAAACTCTGTGAGTTTCTAGGAAGTTTCCCTTTCTCCAGTAAAGTATTTCCAGACACGCATTTCCAATCCTACATTAATTTTGCTTTGACTTCAGACACATCCAACACTAGGCAACTTCACAGACTAGGGAAAATACAGTAGAACTTCCTCTATCACTGTGTCTATGTTCTTCCTTCTCCTCTCTAAGGGTTCAACAGAGATAGTTACCATGAGATAATGATCCCTGCCTATAAGAACTCTTGCAGACCTTGGGTCACTGTGTTTCAGTATGGAACTATAAAATCCACAACCCTACATACTAAATTTCCTAGGGTGCAAGAGACTTTATATCACACACTGCAGACTGTTGTTTGAACAAATAAATCAAAGGTGGGGACCCTGTGGCCTTCCAGATGTTACGGGGAGGTTACATCTCAAACCACCCCCATTTTCTGGCCATTGTTGGTGGGGCTAAAGGGAGTTGAGAGGCCAACATCATATAGAGGGCCACTGGCTCCCCCAGCCCAGATAAAATGTGAGTTCTGGGATTCTTATCTGAAGGACTGTGCAGAACAGACTGTAAGAAATAAGCTCAATTCATTTGGAAGCTTGCTGTTCTAGCTTTTGGCCAACATGTTACTTGCTGGAAAGTTTCTAGCACACATCAAACTGTGGTTACATGCCGTGGTTTGTTCTGCAGAAAAATACAAATTAGTTAACATGCACATTCATTCTCAACATCTCATTCTTAGAGAGTTATCTTCCTCCACACAGGAAACAGAAACATATGTGACCTTTGTATTGTATCCAACTCAACCAAACACAGCTCATTTAGAATTTCATCGCGTTCTCAACGGTGATTCAAAGCACTTGGCAAATAATCTTAAGGAATAAACAAATATGAGAAAAATGTGAAACTCTCTGATGACCATTCAAGGAGCAAACACAGCCTGCATTGCAGCTCAGTTTACCAAGGGCCTCCAATTTTTCAAATGAGATTGTACTTGGAGAACAGAGTATTAGAATCCAGGTTGGGGTGTGATAGTACATCTGAATGTTGCCCCACACCAAAAATTCCCTGCCCACAGAAAGCTTGCTTTAGGAAAAGAAAGGTTCTAGCCTAGGCTGGTCTCCAGTGTGCTATTTTTCTATGAACAGGTTTTGTTTTGGTTTTCTTTACACAGGGGAACTTTTAGAATGTAAAATTTTCCACCTGCACTTTAAGCATCACATGATTCTGCTGACTCTTTGATATAGATACAAGCCTGAAGTGCAGAGAAGCTGCTGTAATTTTCTGTGAGTCTATAATTGTGCTTGATGTCTCAGGCAGTTTACCTACCACAAGGTGCTCACATCAATAGAACTGTACAATGTGAACAAAACAAACTTGCAGTTAAAATAATTCATATACAAAGCAGATGAAACAGAGTAGGATTCATCATTGTCCAAAGGGCAATTTAAATAAAATGTCTTAGCTGATGTCTAGTAGCACCTAGATATGGGCGTATGTAAGCTTCCTGAGAACAAAAATTGAAGAATTAGGATAGCAAATGTATCTTGGGCAACTCCTCCATCCACAGATCCCCCAAAGCAGGGAGAAGGACCACTTTGTACACAGGCAATTTGAACTTTAATCACCTTGAATTACGCTTGACAGCAAAAATGTGTCTGTTAATGAGCATTACTTTTATGGACCATTTTTCTCCCAAAAAATGTTTCTTGTTCATTTCTGCAGCAGTTTAAGCTTCACATCAGTTTTCAAACATAGCCCTGTGTGGAATACAAGACATTAATAAATCCTGGAGCCTTCAGTCTTTGCAGAGTCAATGTCTACCTTCCAACCAGAGTCTGCAACATACAACCTACTTTTAATTTTGAAACCATACACCTCCTTCCAGCAACTCCTGCAGCCAAGCCGCTGCCAAATGCATTCCTCTGCTTTACTTTGGATCATATCAACGAGGCCAAGAGGGAGATCTTGTCCTCTGAGCAGCCCAGGGCCTCCATATACACACCCCAGGTTTGCACCCCAGAGACCTCCCTTTGGTGTTGCTAACTCAGCAAAAACAATGTGGGAGGCAGCAGTATGAGTTACCAGACTCTGGATCCACAGCAGGTCCATTGTCTCTTGAGGCACACAGATGCTAACAGCAACCAACAACAACATGCCCACTTTCAGCATTTTTCTAGGGTGTCTTCAGGAAAGCTGGGATTACTGAAGGTCCTCCTCTGGACCGGGTTAGCCCAGGGCAAAGCAGCCAAAGGAACATAGCGTAATCCAAGGCAGGCAGAAAGTAAAGTTCCAAAAGCAACGATCGAAGTTCAAGAAGTCCAGAAGAAGCAGGTAGAGGAATCCAAGATGAACATGAGGTCACATTCCAAATGTGTATGGAAAGAGGGCAGAAGCTTACTCTGGCAGGAACATCTCAAATTAAGAGAAGTTGCTCATAAAATAGGCTACAAGGTAACCCTCATATATTGTTGACTTGTGGCCCTCCAGATATCACATAAGTGTAACTCCTGCCATCCTTGCCTGGGATAGATGAGAGATGAAGTCCAGAACATCTGGAGACCACAAATTTTCCTCCTCTGATTAAGGCCTGGTGGAATTAATTGGCCCATGGACCCATGAATAGCTCAGTCAAACAGCAATACTTGGATTACAGCCAAGCAGCACCTTTGAGAAATGTAGCTCAGTGTGTCAGGTGATATACAAAGTGTTGAAGGTAGGTGCTGAAAGCCCCTGTTGAAACACACTTGTGCACCAGAGTCTTCCATTGGTTCTGGGTCTTTTCTTTTGAAAGCTCTACAAACTAACAGCTATAGAAGACAGACAGACAAGAGACACTGAGACTCTGATGTATTATTATTAAACATTTATAATATGGAAATTCCCCAACAGTCATACATCCTACTCCTACTTCTCCTAGTACTATGCCAACTAAGTAAATTATTTTACTTAAATGTGACAGTTTCTGGCTTGAAACATCAAAAGACATACCAGATAAGAAAAGGATAAGTAGAGGATGAGAAAGAAACAAGGGATGAATTCACTGAAATTATTCAGTGGTTTAGCATTAATTGGTTTGGGACACAACATTTAGGCGAACAGCAATGAACTATTTCCAAAGTAACAGATTGTAACACTCCTACTAAAGTAGAATAATCCCTTACCCCACGCATAGCTTCTCACTGTTACTATTTGAATATTGAATAATCGTGAAGTGCCACTGAATGCAAGAACATCATCTGGCTCGGTGACTTTTTGCTTTCTGGTTAGAGAAAAGGAGAAGCTTCAAGCAAAAAACAAGTAAAAAAAACTATGGCAACATATGGCTCCGAAAATCTCAGTCGTGATCTCTGCCCACCCCTAAAGCAAACTAAGGCCCCAGAAACAGGAAAAAGTGCACTGCTTTCAAGAAAAAGCGCAATTCAGAGTGGTTTTATATGTCTGGTTTTTATGTCCATCTCAAAGAGAACACTTGTGCAGAGAAAGACCATGGCTATTTTGGCAACATAGCTCTAGTTAGAGCACACTCTCTAATGGGTATGTTTTGCAGCCATACACTCATGGGTGCTTCAAAGATGAATCTCATTTCATTTCTTCATGGAGCTACCAGCTTGGTGGATCAATGGAATCCTTGCACATAGTGTATCTTGATTTCAGTAAGGCTTTTGACCATGTCCCCCAATATATTCTTGCAGAGAAGCTAGTAAAATGTGGGCTGGACAAGGTCACTTAGGTGGATTTGTAGATGGTTGACTGAACCAGCTGAGAATGCCAGTGAGAACCAGTGAGAATGCTTACTAACAGTTCCTCATCATTCTGGAAAAAGTGACACATGGGGGACCACAGAGTTCTGACCTGGGCCAGCAGTTGTTCAACATCTTTATCAATGACTTAGATGAAGGTATTGAGGGGATGCTCTTCAAATTTGCAGATGATACCCAACGGGGAAGGGTGGGCAATGTCATCGAAGACAGAATCGTGATTCAAGATGACTTTAACAGATTGGAGAACTGGGCCCTAACTCCCAAAATCATATAAGGACTAATGTAAAGTTCTGCATCTAGGCAAGAATAACCAGGTGCACAAATATAAGATGGGGCGGGGGGGACCTGGCTTGCCAGTAGTATATGTTAGTTTCTGCTTTCCTTCACTGTGCAGCTTTGCTTGTCACGAGACAGGTGTTTACATTCCACAGTCTGTACTGTTGGAGTTTCTCACGGGAAAGGGAGACTGGATGTGACGTACACTGGTTTCCTGTTTTTCACTGTGTGATTCTCTCCGAGCTGTCGAGGAGAGAGGATGCATTTTCTGCTCCTGCAGAGGCAAGATGTCTTTCTGTAATATACCAGCTTTGAACTGTAAATAAAGCAATATAGAGTATGTAGCACGTATTCCTCATCCTTCCGCTGGGCACAAGACTCTGCTTTAAATCAACACGTGGTTATGGGCTCCAGAGGTCGAATCGGAGTGCCGGCAAAGGATCGGAATGCAGAGGGACAGATCGGAACGGAATCTGCTCTGCGCGTAGAGGTGATTGATGAGGTATGTGCTACTGCTCCGGGCAGCCTGCCAGCTTCAAGTTAATGGCTTTATGGCTGGACTTTGAACTTTTAAAGCCGGTTTTGCCGGGAATAGGCAAAAGGCTCCCAGGCACAAGTCACTATGCTGGGGAAATCGAAAGTAACTTTTAAGTGTGCCTTTGTAATAAGGCAGCTGCAGCAGTGACGCAGCAAGATTTAAAGCAGCATATGACGCTGAAGGCTAATGCCAGAGTCATGATGGCCCTTCAGGATGCTTGTGGGATTCCTAAGCTCAACAAGAAAAATTACAGCGACTGGGTTCAGTATGCAGAGGCAATTCTGCGGAAAGAGGGTTTGTTTGAGGTGATTACAGGAACCCCCCCAGTTCCAGTTACAGATGCATGGGAAGCTAAGGATTCCAAAGCAAGGGGAACTCTTACATTGATAGTATCCCCAGAAGAGCTCTGTCTATTGCGTGATAAGACCTCAGCCAGAGAAATTTGGGACGCTCTGAGAGAGGCTCACTTAAGGACAGAAGCTGGATCCACTATGTTTTACTTTAACAAGCTGCATAATATGGCTCTTGCTGAAGGTGGAGATGTGCGTTTACATCTAATGGAGATGCAAAATCTGAGACATGAGCTGCAACAGAGAGGACTCAACTTTCCAGAGGCTGTGTATTCTTTCATGATACTACAATCTTTGGGTTCAGGTTGGGAGTCTGTTGCAACCCAGATTGCTGTGCAACCAACTGCTCTGCTGACAGTGGACTTTGTTACTGCCGTGATTTTAAATGAAGCAGATCGCCGGGTGCTAGCTGCATGGGCAAGGGGAGTCTTCACAGACGTCATCCCATAGTGCAGTGGAACCACCAGATGGCGCCAAAGCTTTGAAGGCAGTGAAATGCTACTCGTGTGGACGTCTAGGCCATATGAAGAGGGAATGCAGACATCCCAGGGCCAAGACAGAGCAGCGCAGCGAAAGCTCATCGCGCGGAAAAGGCCGAGGCAAAGGCAAAGGTCCGGTGTCTAGGACAACGCAGCACAAGGCTATGGTTTCACGCTTCACTCCAAAGGTTGCAGAGGTCCAGAAGACGTCTAGATCTTTCTTCGTTGTTGATTCAGCGGCCACCCACCACATGTGCAACGATAAGAGACTGTTTGTGTCTTTTACACCGCAGGAAGGTGCGATTCACCAGGCGGATGACCACACTATTCCCAGTAAAGGCTACGGAACTGTTGTTCTTCACAGTTTGGACTTATCGATACAGAATGTGCTTTACGTGCCAGACGCCAAACATAATCTGCTCAGCGTTGGACAGCTGAATGAGCGGAACATTGACGTTTCCTTCAAGAACAAGAAGTGCATCATCACAAAGAAAAATGATTATGTATTGCATGCAGAATATGTTGATCGTTTGTTTGTTTTGTATTATGATGATGTGGTGCAGGATGACACTTGTTGCATTGCAGGTTCTAACAAAAGTTTGCATGCAGAATGTATTCACGCTGTGCATCGAACATTTGGTCATTTGCATTTTGAGGCAGTATCTAAAATGCCTGCCTTGGTTGAAGGTATGACTATTAAACCCTGCAGGTACCACATGAAGTGCAAAGCATGCGCAGCAAACAAAGTGAAAATGGCTGCGAAAGGTAAGGTGTCTAGTAGGAAAGCTACAGAACCATACCAGGTTGTTCATGCTGATTTGGTTGGTCCACTAGCGCCCTCTTTGGGTGGAAATAGATACTTCATGGTTCTCATTGATGCATTTTCTAGATATATTTTTGTGTACAATCTCAAGCAGAAATCGGAGGCTTTTCCTAGGTTCAAGGAATTCTGTGCTTGGTTGGAAAATGTGCATGGTAAGAAGATAAAGACTCTTTTCAGTGATCGCGGGGGGGAATTCACTTCTCAGCAGTTTGAAGCTTTTCTGACTGAGAAAGGAATTCAACACGATTTGTCTAGTCCTCGCTCGCCATGGCAGAATGGACTTGCGGAACGGGCAAATCAGACTTTGCTTCAAGGGTTAAAAACCTTGCTGCATGATGCCAATCTTCCAGAGAGTTATTGGGCCGAATCTCTCTCGTGTTTTGTTTACAGTTACAATCGCAGGTTATCTTCAGCGATTGGTTGTACCTCTATGAGAAGATGTTTGGCAAGAAGCCATACATCAAACACATGAAGATTTTTGGTTCTGACATGTGGGTTCGCTCACCACAAAACTCCAAGTTAGACAAGCGTGGATTGCATGGTATCTTTCTAGGTTATCAGAAAGGGTCTTACAGAATAATGATGACTGACTCTAAGACAATTAAGCTCACGAGAAGTGTTGAGTACAATGCAAAGTGGGGGAGAATGTGGAATTTTCCAATGTTATCCTGATGACGGTGATGAGACTGAGGATAGTCAAAGCAACCACAACAACCCACACCCACTGATGAAGGTTCTGAGTCTGAATCTGAAACTGAATCGGGTGATTCAGAGGATTTCGAGAGTGCGAAAGCCTCTATGCGACCCTCTGAAAGCTCTGATCAAGAATTGGAGGAACCATTGTTCACAATAGGTCGTTTTTCTCCTAAGAAGGAAGAGGAGAGTGTTGAAGACTTAAGGATAATTCGTAGGTCACAGAGAGCCACAAAAGGCAAACCTCCAAAGAGATTTGCTGATGAGTTTGCTAAGATAGCAGTAACAGCTGTTAAAAGCTCCAAGAAGGTATTTGAACCTTCAAGTTTCCAAGAAATCCAGGGTTTGGATTCAAAGGAAGCTGAGCCATGGTTAAATGCCATGAAGGCTGAGCTTGATTCCTTAGAAAGGAACAAAACATGGGAGCTAGTTCCAGTAGTTCCAGGAATGAAACTGCTTGGAGCAAATGGGTCTTCAAAGCGAAGACAGATCAAAATGGCAAGATAGTCAGACACAAAGCCAGATTGGTAGCCAGAGGTTTTGCACAGGTACCAGGTGAAGACTATCACGAGACCTATTCACCCACAGTGAGATATGAAAGCATTAGGCTTATGCTCAAGCTAGCTGCAGAGGAAAATCTACACATTAGTCACCATGATATTAATACAGCTTTTCTGTACGGATCTCTAGATGAATCACTTTATATGCTTCCACCTGATGGCGTACAGGTAAAACAGGGATTTGTTTGTGCTCTGAAGAAATCCCTTTATGGTCTCAAACAAAGTGCACGGTGTTGGCACACAAAACTCACTGAAGTATTGTTTTCTCTAGGTTTTCAGCAAGGGAAAGCTGATCCATGTGTATTTGTCAAAGAGGAGGGGCAAAAGAAACTGTACTGTTTGTTTTATGTTGATGATTTATTATTCTTTTGGAAAGATGTTGCAATGTACAATAACGCCCTAGCTCAACTGAAAGAGCACTTTGACATGAAAGATCTTGGTGAGGTAAACAACTACCTATCTCTGGAAATAGAGAGAGATCAAGATGGTAACATTCTAGTACACCAGTCACGGAAAATTGCTGATGTGTTAAGCAAACTAAATCTGATGAATGCTAACCCTGTAGACACACCGATGACAACAGGTTATCAGGTAGATGACACTGAAGAAGCATTTTCTGACACTACACTGTACAGGAGTGTGCTAGGCAAGCTAAACTTCATTGCCAGATGTTCAAGACCAGACATTGCTGTTAGCTGTAATTTGCTAAGCAGACAAGTCAACAATCCTAGTGTCAAGGATTGGAAAGCTCTGAAACGCATAGCGCGGTATTTGAAAGGCACTATGCATTACAGACTGAGATTTAACAATCAGAAGTCTGGTGGTCTTGAGATATTTGCAGATGCAAGTTTTGGAAGTGACGCTACAGACAGGAAAAGTACGTCTGGAGTTTGCTACATGTACAATCAGAGTCTGTTTGATTGGTCATGCAAGAAGCAAACAACAGTTAGCTTAAGTACTTGTGAAGCCGAACTGAATGCACTGTCTTATTCACTTAAGGATTGTGAATGGTTAGTACAATTGTGCAAAGATATGAAAATTCCTGTCAAATGTCCAATCCAGGTTTACCAGGACAACAAAGCATGTTTGGCTTTGCTGAAGTCTGAAGGTTGTAAGCAAAGCACAAAGCACTTGCAATTAAAGTTGCAGCGTGCTAGGGAATGTATTCAGAAGGGACTCGTAACGGTGTCCTATATGCCAGGTAATGAAATTCCTGCTGATGTATTGTCCAAGATTGTATCAAGGGATCAACACTGTACCTATGTGCAAAAGTTGGGTTTGTACTGATATTGTGCAAACACGCTGCCCAGTGATGTTCACAGAAAGGGGGAGGATGTTAGTTTCTGCTTTCCTTCACTGTGCAGCTTTGCTTGTCACGAGACAGGTGTTTACATTCCACAGTCTGTACTGTTGGAGTTTCTCACGGGAAAGGGAGACTGGATGTGACGTACACTGGTTTCCTGTTTTTCACTGTGTGATTCTCTCCGAGCTGTCGAGGAGAGAGGATGCATTTTCTGCTCCTGCAGAGGCAAGATGTCTTTCTGTAATATACCAGCTTTGAACTGTAAATAAAGCAATATAGAGTATGTAGAACGTATTCCTCATCCTTCCGCTGGGCACAAGACTCTGCTTTAAATCAACAGTCCCCCAATATATTCTTGCAGAGAAGCTAATAAAATGTGGGCTGGACAAGGTCACTTAGGTGGATTTGTAGATGGTTGACTGAACCAGCTGAGAATGCCAGTGAGAACCAGTGAGAATGCTTACTAACAGTTCCTCATCATTCTGGAAAAAGTGACACATGGGGGACCACAGAGTTCTGACCTGGGCCAGCAGTTGTTCAACATCTTTATCAATGACTTAGATGAAGGTATTGAGGGGATGCTCTTCAAATTTGCAGATGATACCCAACGGGGAAGGGTGGGCAATGTCATCAAAGACAGAATCGTGATTCAAGATGACTTTAACAGATTGGAGAACTGGGCCCTAACTCCCAAAATCATATAAGGACTAATGTAAAGTTCTGCATCTAGGCAAGAATAACCAGGTGCACAAATATAAGATGGGGCGGGGGGGACCTGGCTTGCCAGTAGTATATGTGAAAAAGATCCAGGGGTCTTAGTAGACCACAAGTTTAACATCAGCCAGTGTATGAAGCTGCAAAAAAGCTAATGATATTTTAGGCTACATCAACAGAAGTGTAGAGTCCAGATCAAGGGAAGGAATAGTACCACTCTATTTTGCCTTGGTGACACCACACCTGAGTCCTGTGTCCAGTTCTAGACGCCACAATTTAAGGATGATATTGACAAGCTGGAATGTGTGCAGACGAGGGCAACCAAGACGACCAAGCGTCTGGAAACCAAGCCTTATGAGGAATGCTCGAAGGAATTGAGTATGTTTAACTTGGAAAAGAGGAGATATCCTAAAGGTCTGTCACATGAAGGGCTGAGCAAGCTTCTTTTCTCCTGTTCCGGAGACTAGGACCCAAATCAATGGCTTCAAGTTACAAGAAAGGAGATTCCGACCAAACATCAGGAAAAACTTTCTGACGTGTGCCTTCAACCAGAAAGGCTTCATAGGCCATGTTGTATTAATATTTAAGCAACTGGTAACAACCAGCAAATCCTGGCAAGCATCTGGAAAACCTATTGATTTTTCTCAAGCACCACCAAAACATTATTGGACCTGTTTTGCTGCTTTTGTGCCATCAATTGTTATAGACGCTTTTCTAATGAGTTGTATATGTTATTTGATCTTTTGAATTTCCTTTTATGGCTTTTTTGTCACCTCTTTGAAGCTATGCGGTGGGAGAAAAATCACAAAGATAAATAAATATGCAAATAACTCGGTGTTATTTCCCCTCCCCCTCCCCACCAAAGCAGTAATGTTCCATTTTACACTGGGAGCTAAGTCACCTTCCTTATGAACTCTACGGCACTTTTCATGAATTGGATGGGCATCTTTGCATAAAACATAAGTTGACACAAGGCCTTGCTTTCTAGCCCGCGTATCTGAGACGGTTCCTTAGATACCAGTGAAAGCCCAAAGACAGGTCTTGGCTCCCCAAACCCCTTTCTATGTAACACTTTTACACAAAGCAAGAAAGACGCTTTTGCAACAAAAGTGATGAGAAATGGAAAAAATATTGTCGTCGTGCTGGGTAACACGCCAAACCATCTGGAGACAAAGTCATATAAGGGGGCCAGGGGGGTGAAGGGGAGGGAGAGAGAAAGCCTGCTACTTATTAGGCAGCCAGCTTAAAACTGATGATGTGATTGAATGAGATCCAAGGTTGTTGTCTTCCCATAAATCACACTCATGTTATACTTGGCTAGAACGGATGTGGTAAACTTGGGGAGAGCCCTTTTCTTCAGCACACTCAATTACGGGAACAATAAAAATACCACTGAGGCAAACCTATTTGGAGAGCAAATACAATCTGCCAGCAGCTCTGAAATAAATAAATAACTCATCCAGAAAAATAGGAATGCAAGCAGACACCCAGTTCTAAAATGATAATTTCTCTCTCTCTCTTTCTCTCTCTTGCTTTGCCTTTTCTTAAATGCATCCTTGGTTAAATGTTAATTTGTTTCTCCTTGTGGGTGTTTGATGTTGTGAGAATTAAAACCCAAAATATGATTATGCGTAAATTAACTAGTCTGACATGCCAAAGGTGATCAGATGAGGCAGTTGATGTGTAAAATGTGTGTGTGTGTGTGTGTGTGTGTGTGTGTATTATGAGTAATAACAATAATAGAAAAATTGTCCTGTCAAATCAGGCATAGCCGTAATAACAAGCCAATGCATACGACAGTAAAAACTGTCATTTCCACAGCTATTAATGTAAATTGAACATTGGTAGCAGACACTGGCAAAGGGAGATAAATCACGCTTAGTTATATTTCAAAATATAAGTGTCAGAGAACTCCTTTACCCCCCACCTTCTTCTCTCATTAGGAACCTTCCCCCTGTCAAACAGTTCCACGTTGATTCTGTCACTTCTGCAGTAGAGAACTCCCTGATGAACTGATTAAGTGACAATTTCATACTACTAAACATGGCTAATCTGTGCAAAAGAGCGATGAAAAGGAATCACACAACCAAAACAATTCTTCTATTAATGTGAAACACAACTGATAAGATTTTTTTGGCCATTTTTGAGGAACACAGTTTCACAAGGGAGGCTATGCGGCATGTAGCCAAGTTATGCAAGAGGATGCTGTGTAAAAACCAATCCCCCCACATCCAATTAGAAGCAAGGGCACAATAAAAACATCACAGAAGACAATAAATGCTGTGCCTGATCAGAAAACTCACCCCAGTCACTAGTTAAGTTTTTGGTAAGATTTATTTTACCTCACGCTCATAAACCAGGTACTTTTATTTGTGCCTAGGGCAGAGCTGAAATGGGGAGAGGGCTTGCTCCTCCATCAGACCCATTCGCTACAAATATCATCCTAAGACCCTTTTTCCTGTCCTAAAAGGGACAACCTTCATCTTTCCAAATCAATACCTTCCATAGGCATTCACTATAATTCCAATAACCTGGTTGCCCTACTCCTCCTGGGAGAAACTAGCAACCAGTCAGCTAGCTGGCTAATCTACTCAAAAAGCTCAGCCAGGGCACATTTTAGAATGTAGAATGTCAGGTGCCAAGGTGCTTGGTGGTCATGGTTCCATCTTGCCAGCAGTCTTGCCTAAAACCCCCAGTCCTTGAATCATTTCACAGCCAACACGTTTGCTTTCTTTTAAAGGGGGGCAGGAACACGCTCCATTCTACCCACTTAGATATTATGTCTTACTGTGAAGGGAAAGGTGTTTTGGAAAAAACTTACAATAACCAATATTATGCTAATTTTTATGATGAACAACTTCGTTTCATTGATTTTTTTTATTACACCTATGGATTGTAGGAAAGTTGTACCGAGTAGCCATTCCCCCCCTCCAATGTCCAAAAAACGTAACATTTTCATTACAAGGAATAAAAAACCCATAAATTTCATTCTTTGTCGAGAAAGAGCATGTCTTTGCAATAATTATCAACATCAAAAACTTTGGATTCCATCATACCCACACGCTGAAAATTGAGGTTTTCTAAACCTATGTTTTCCACCCAAAAAGTACATTTATAAAAACAAAATAGGCATTTATAAAATCTTTTGAGTGCTGGTGTATTTTTTCCTGAAATCCTCATCCTCTTATTGAGCTCTGTGTAAAATTTCAAAGAGATCTCTTACTCGGTTATGGAGAAAATAAAATAAAATGTACATGTGCCAAGGGTCTTAAGAGGGACAGGCAATACAGATTTCACGAAACTTTGGAGTGCTATAAAATTAAAACCATTTGAGACAGAGGGGAAGAATTTAAGAGGGTTTCTTTCAACCATAGGGGAAGGGTGTATACTAAATTTCATCAAAATCTGAGACGGTGGGTGACATGACCATGTTGACATGACGTGGAATGACCCACCACTCCCTACCCCAGCACATGCCTACCCAGCATATTGCCACCTCATGTAGCTGCCTTACTTTGCCTATTGGTAGGGCTGAAAATCTGAAGAAGAAAAGGTGAAACAATATTAATCCTGCAGAGAAAATGCAGGCTGTTAGGTTAATCAGTGCTACCCATCTTTCAAACAATATAAAGCAGTATAACTTTCAAAAGCAGCAGCTCACCTGATTTTTTTTGAAAACAAAAACTGTCTATCAGGAATCAAGAAGTAAGTAAACATTTGGAAAGCATTCCTCAGAGAGCAGAGGTTTTTAGATTTGAGTCACAGGATCCATTGAAAAGAAAAATTGCTTCTGTGCATTGGGACGATGCTTTCCCTTCTGAGAACTTTATAAGAAGAAATGAATGAAGATAATCTCTTTACAAGATGTATCCATATGGTAATTCATTACTAGGGATGAATGTTTGTTAGGCTGTTTTTCTTAAAAAAAAATACTTCAAGGTAGTTCTGAAAGTGAGAATAGGGGTCAATACAAAATAACCTACATGGCAAATTGCTCTCCTTGTGCTTGCATGAAAACAATAGGATTCAAAAGAAAATGAGTCACTTCAAGCATCATATCTCATGTTGTACATTTAGTAACATTAAAGTGTGGATTCAAAAAGAGCAAGCACAAAAACATCTTGTGTAGTTGCACTCATTAAGGAATCAGGACTGGCTACAACTTTCTGTTGAGTGTATACTGGTAGTCAGATTCATATTGGCAGCCATATAATGTATGAAACATCCTGTAGAAATACCAGGCAACGTAAGAATCTGCCTTATACCAAGGCAGAACACTCAGCATTGTCTACTACACTGACTGGCAGCACCTCTCCAAGCTTTCAGACAGACTTCTCTCCCAGACCTACTTGGAGATGCCAGGGGCTGAACCAAGGACCATTGCATACAAACCAGTTACTCTTCCACTAAGCTACCATGAGACCAAATATCAGATCTATCCAGGCCCCAGCAGTTCTGTATATTTAAGTGGAAATACATAACTGTGGAGCAGCTTTAGTCATTCACTGCCTGCTTTGAACAATAAGGGGATGGGGGAAGACACATGCATTATGTCTTCAAAGAGGACTAAGGCTATCCATGGTGCTACACGGTGAGCAAAATAATTATTATGCTCATAAGAGATGAGGCACTAAGACAAAGAACCAAAATCCCAGTTTATAGGCTTACCAAGACTGGTAGAACAGGAGGCACCTATGCCTCCCTTATAACTAACACACACACACACACACACACACACACACACACACACAATGTGACTTAGATGCTTCATACAAAGACCGATTTTAACTCCAGGGTGGGAGAGTGTAGCTCAGCTGCCGGAAGTTTTAGAAACTCTGCTTTGCACCATGTTTTCCCCAAGATGTCAACTCGTAAGTCAGAGATAGTAATAATAATAAACTGAACTTGACAGGCAAAACAAATCCCTCTCAATAAAGATATTAGTGTATTTGGATAACCATCAAGGAGGGCCCTTACTTTATGCTGAGCAAAGCTAAAGCTTGCTTTTCAAAGGAAGGGGGGGAGGAGGAAGAATGATATTTCACACACAAAGTTGTGGAGGAGAAAGAAAATGAAAGCCAAGAAGGTTTGAAGTGTGAGGAATCCTGTGACAATTTCAGTGGGACTATTTAGACAAGACTGAGGATTTGCAGCACTGGACCTACATTTTGTGCTCTTGATAGGTTTACCTTTCAGGACTCCAAGCCAGAATTCTGCAGGGACAGTTGCCTGGCTTCAGATTCTATTGGTTAGATTAATCTGCAATAGAGTTTAAATGCACTGTAACACTAAATCAAGAGTTACAAGAAGCCCTCCTCCCTGGAGCCCAAGCTTTTTCATTTCCTTTCCTAAAGCGATCCAAGTTTGTCCAACTTACAAGATAAAGTTGATTCAATTAGATGGAAGAATAGTTTGAGAAGGCAGGAGTTCTGTCATCTCTTGAAAACAGACTTCCTTTTGCACCTTCAATTAATAATACATGCATTTTGCCACAAGCTGTTTGGGATTTGTGTGCTTTATTCTGATTGCAGCATTTGGATTTCTGCAAAATGAGAAATACTTATTCTCAAAGGTCAAGCAGCAAAAGAAAAAATGCATTATAGAAAAATGGGACACAACTAGAAGCCCCATAAAGGAGAGGCAGCTGTGCAAAATAGAGGTTCTGCCTCATAACTACTCATTCCAGTGCCATAAAATAATAAAAGTAAAATCAGACCATATCCGAAGAACTTTTGCAGCCATCGGGAGCACCTAAGGTTTCTCTACTGTTGCAACAAAATATCAGCCGTGGGTCAGTTACTATGAGAGGGACTTTATAAACATGAGTTAAACAATCCACAAATAGCAGCCTTTGTCCTAGCAAATTTCACTTCCCTTGAGCTCAGTTATTTGGAATTCCACTCCTTTGTAAAAAGGACTGAATCATACAGAGAACTCCATTGTGGAGCAAGTGCGTTTTCTGTGGCTGAGAGGCATTTTCCTTTCGGCTCATGGAAGACTAACATTTTTAATGCTAATGAGGGATGGAGATGTGCCCTGGGAGATGAACATACTGTGCATATCCCCCCAAAAGAGTTTTGTCGCTTGGAAGTAGCATGAAAATAAAAGTAATTCCTGCATGATGCGTGTCTTTAGCCAGATTGGTGTCTCTAGCCAAAATGCCCGTCAGAGTACCCGTCAGACTACCAAATACACCCCTGCTCACATTGTTTTCTCTGGGTACCATCAAGAAAGATTATGCAGTATTCTCAGATGCCTGAACAGAATATAATCAAGATGAGTACAGGAATGACTGACAGCTAGAATAGAAAACAATTTCCAAACAGCTGCTGGAGTAATTTAGAAGTTTAGGATGAAAATTCGGATCCCTGGAGAAAATATGAGGAAGACAGAGCTACTTTGCTTTGACATCAGCAGAGCTGAAAGTGAGAACTACTCTTTCATGTTATTTCAGGTCAAATCCTTTTCTTTCATTCAGTTACTGATATCTCTACATCAGAGTTACATATCCATAGCCACATCTTTAGATCTGTGATCTTTCAAATGATGCTTATGCTCTAAGAAATCTTGATGCTCTAAGAAAGGCTAATCTCTTTCCAGAAGACAGGCAGCAGAAACCTTTGAGTTTGTTCCTGGTTTTGCCAATGATTTTTTTTTTACCATTCCTAACGTTTTCTCAAGTCAGAGCAGTCATGCAGATTTGCCTTTCTACATCCAGAATGATTAAAAAATAAAATAACATGCCCTCTAATTCTGTAAAAATACTATGAGCAATGCACAATTATTAGAAGTGAGCCAAGAGCCAAGGAACACACAGAAATCCATCAGAACCAGGAGGTGCTAAGGCAAGATCCCAGGCCAACAAGCCAATTTTACATAGCCCTTCCTGTCAAGGACACAACAATGCCAGCTTGAGTAGGCAGAAGTCGTGCTAGGAACACACTCCCAAGTTCAAATAGACCACCACACAGGGGAGATGCGCAAAAGCCAAAAGCCCCTAGTTCTAATCTTAACAGCTCCTAAGACACATCCTTTCTAACCCTTACAATGCTCAAGAGACCTGGCACTGAGTTAGACAAGTCTGATAGAGAAATTCTGCTGATGTTCTAACATGGGAAGCATATTGACTGACCAACCCAGGGAGCCACCCGTATGATACAATTCTAATATGCTTCAGCACAGCTAAACATCATTCTTTTTAAAAAATATTGGGAGACCAACATAATGACACATTTTCAGCCTATCACTTAACCATAGTTTAGTACTGTGTGATAGGAGTCTTGGGCTGATGTGCTCCACGCCTCACCCGAAGAGAAGTTGAGAAGTGTCTGCATCTCATTTTTCATTATCTCAGTTAACAAGAAGGGCAAGCTGTGGGTTAAATTACTGTTTAAAGCATGGTTTATACTCCTAGCTTGTTACAATTCTACCTTGTTCAAACCATAGCCTGAGCTAGCCACAGTTTGTCCTTTCCAGCTCATACTTGGTCATTCATGTAATGCTAAACCATGGTTCAGGGACTTAATTGGGCCAGTGTGGATGGAGGATCTTCCAGTGGCCAACAAGATAAGAGGTGTCAAAGAAGGAAGCATTTTTAGAAAAAGGCTTCTCTTTCCTCCAGCACTTTGCAGCAGGCAAGTCGATTGTATCCGAACAAAATAGACTCCTGACACTTCCTAAAAAGAAATACAGTGGTACCTCGGTTTACAAACTTAATCCATTCCGTAAGTCCGTGCTTAAACCGAAACCGTTCTTAAACTGAGGCATGCTTTCCTTAATGAGGCCTCCCACCGCTGGTGCCCTTCCACCGTTTGGATTCCGTTCTTAGACCGAGGTAAAGTTTGCAAACTGGGACACTACTTCCGGTTTTGCAGAGTTCATAAACCGAATCATTCTTAAACAGGACTGTTCTTAGACCGAGGTACCACTGTACTGGAAAGAAGACTGCAGCAGTTAAATGGTATATTGCAACAGAGTAGGCACTGACTCTGTGCAAGTGTGAATTTTAATTTAGAAAGTTGCAAATCAATGAGGGTGATATCCAGGCTAAGCCATAAGGTGGTGGTGGTGGTGGTTGTTTAGTCATGTCCAACTCTTCGTGACCCCATGGACCAGAGCACGCCAGACACTCCTGTCTTCCACTGCCTCCCACAGTTTGGTCAAACTCATGCTGGTAGCTTCGAGAACACTGTCCAACCATCTCGTCCTCTGCCATCCCCTTCTCCTTGTTCCCTCCATCTTTCCCAACATCAGGGTCTTTTCCAGGGAGTCTTCTCTTCTCATGAAGTGGCCAAAGTATTGGAGCCTCAGCTTCAGGATCTGTCCTTCCAGTGAGCACTCAGGGCTGATTTGCTTCAGAATGGATACGTTTGATCTTCTTGCAGTCCATGGGACTCTCAAGAGTCTCCTCCAGCACCATAATTCAAAAGCATCAATTCTTCGGCGACCAGCCTTCTTTAGGGTCCAGCTCTCACTTCCATACATCACTACTGGGAAAACCATAGCTTTAACTATACGGACCCATTAATTTCAGTTGGTCTACTCTAAATATAACACTGAATGTGGAACTCTGTGGGGTTTTTCTTTTTTACTTCATGTTCTTCACACATTTTCTTTTTGTTTATAACAGGTGCCCAACTTATATACGTAGTGAGTGTATTCTGGTTTGTCAAAACAACTCTAATGGAACAAGGGGAGGGTCGTATAAGATGGTTCAACCAGATGGGCCTTTGTCATGTGAATGCTCCCCACCTTTTAAGGAGATAAAGCCTGTCAGTTAAAGAGTGCCCAAGTGGACCCTGTATTGATGGAGGTGCCAAACTAACTTCTTTGCATTTAATGCATGGGTGGCATTAGCCCAAAAGAGTGCAGCAATGTTTGGCAATATGCTCTTCTCATGCATTCAAGACTGGTTCTAGACTGGTCCAAGATGGGGTCATAAATGGTGACCATCATGGTGTGCTTCAATTCTGAACAGGGGACATGATGGCAATCAAGAGGTGAATAGGTGAATATTTGCTTAATATTTCCTTACATTTTCCTAGTTTTTAATTGAATTTATGTTTCAGGAAAATTGCCTCAGGTGCTCCCGTGTCGAAACAGTGAGAGGCCATTTTCACTATATTTGAAGCTTTGAACTTTGTTTATCATTGTCTACACACTGATATCAGTGCCCCTCTGAGTCTTTTTGCAGCCATCAGATTAGAATAATGAATACCTATTTTACAGAGCTCATTGATTAAATGAAACATACTGCATGATGTATTCCTCTCACAGTAAAGTGACACCTGAGAGTGCAATCCTGCACATGTCTACTCAAAAGAGTTAATATTTAAAAAACAATTATTTTCCAATCCTAAAAAAAGAATGCATTAACTCCTTCAGAAGAAGAAAAAACATTTGGCAGGCACAGCAGTCCAATTGTATCCTCATGAAATCTCATTAATTGCATGTGTTGGGAGACTCCTTGTATTTAAAAAGAAGGAAGCAACATAAACTGGATAATTATGCCACAAAGGAATAAATCTGTTTTGCTTTGCTCATGGTTTTGTTAACGTCAGTAAAATTATTGGTCCATATCTGCCCTTGTGCAACATCAGTGGCTTTGATATTTACACAATAAAACAGCTAAATTTACACTTGGGATAAAATTCACCCCATAAACTGAACTTGGCCTGAAAGCACACTCCAAATCAGTAAAGGGGAAATTATTCAATTTACACGGACTCAAGAGAAAGTGAAATTCATATACAACTGTGCTTCCCAAAGTCCCCCCCGCAACGCCTACTTGAAAATTGCTGATGGTCTTGGCAGACCCCTTAATGATTTTTCTGCCTATTGCAGTAATTGTAATGCCCTACAGAAGCTGTATGGTTTTAATTGTATTTTTTTATTGCTTTATTTTTCTTATATTTTTTTAGTCTGCTACAATTAGCATTCCATATAATGCTATTTAAGAAATAAAAGGAGCAACAAAGATACAATTAAAAATCAATATGAATAGTCGAAGCAAGACAGGGCTGTGGACCACCTGTATGAAGTTCATGGACCACTTCTGGTCTATGCATCACAGTTTGGGAACCTCTGGGATACAAAATTGGGGGCAGGAGAGGCAACTAGTCTGTGTACCCAAAGTTGTGTAGAACTAAGAAGATTGGGAAAATGTACTGTATCTTTAAAATAAGACTGCTTTTGTCTTGTTCCATAAAACTTTCACAGAATAAAAATAGTATTCTGTGGCAATGTTACCCAAACTCATAATTACATGCTTCAAAATATATCTTTAATATATATATATATATATATATATATATATATATATTTCGCTTGATATATATATATATCGCTTGAATGTAAGAAAAATCTCTAAGCAGTTTACAATAAATATTTGACATCATCAATAAAAAGTGGTTTAAAAAGAATTAACAATGTTTTTAAAATAATTAAATTCAGCAGTGAATGTGCCAAGTGCATAACAATTGGGTGCAATATCAATTGATTGTACTTGGAGCCTTACATTTGAGATATACAAACAGAACTGTAGAAATGCACCTAAAGTGGCTCTTTTCCAGTTGGTAAGAGCATGGTGCTGATAATACCAAGGTTGCAGGTTTGATCCCCATAAAAGGACAGCTGTATATTCCTGCATTGCAGGGCGTAAGACTGGATGAGCCTCAGGTCCCTTCCAATTCTATTACCTGTTTCCACATAGAAAAGAAGGCAGTTCACCCATCACTATGATTCTGTCATCCTATACTGAACGCATCCTATATTCAAAAAAGGAAAGCTAGAGTAAATATTTTTGTTGACTTTCTACTCAAGCAAAAGGAAGCCTTACTGCACTCACATGGAACTTGCTCCCTACTTATTAACATGTGTATAAGTATTACTGTCATGAAGACTGCCACACATACTTTGTGAAACTAATCAAAGCAGCTGTCATCAAAAAAAATTCTGGGAAGGTATTTAGTAAATCCTTACAAAATGAATTAACCTACCCACTGGAATTTTGCACACCTCGCAATGTAACCATGTTTTGCATAAATACACCCTGTTGGGAGTGTCAAGCTTTTCAAACACCAACCTGAAAAAACTATTAAGTGCTTTTACTCTGAAACCACAGCACAGTTGTAGTTCCAGGAGTCTCTCTTACAGCTCTTCCTCTTCTGCTTTCAACTGCTGAAGAGAGACAAGATTCTTAACCTTTCACAGCATCCTTAGCAAAATATACACTGCTATATGTTCACTAATGAGCACAGAAGGCAGGCATGAGACTTTCACTCAGGAACATAGACTGCTGCCTTATACTGAATCAGATGATTGCTGACACTGATTGGCAATGGCTCTCCAAGATTTCTAACACTGGTCTCTGCCAGTCCTACCAGGAAATGCAGGCGTATCCCTGTTTAAGACCTATGTGGCTGGAATTGCTTAATTAAGCAAGGATATTATAATCTGATTTTGGTTTACTTGTCCGCAGGTTCTGGTCAACTGCCACTTGCTCTATTCTAATTTTCAGTACAGTGGAACCTCAGTTTTCGAATGTAATCTGTTCCGGAAGACCGTTCGACTTCCAAAACATTCAAAAACTGAAAGCGGAAGCCTCAATTCAATAGGGAAACTCAAAACGGAAGCTATGTCGGATGTTCAGGTTCCGGAAAACATTCGAAAACCAGAGCATTCACTTCCGTTTTTTTGTTGTTCGGGAGCCAAAACATTCGAAAACGTAGCCGTTCAAGAACCGAGATTTGACTGTAACAAGTTTTCCTGCATTGTAGCCACATTTTACTTATATTACTCTTAATACCTACTAGACACAGGGGAAACTTTAATCAAAAGTGCATCCTAGCCCCTGGCAGGAGTTGTCACTCATGTTCAAGGCTCCAGCTAGCCTGCAATAGAAGCCTTGTACTGATATTTTGGATTTGTAGGAGAGGACTTGCTTTTCCCTTTCCTTTCCACACCATGGTCAAATATGGTCAGGTTTGAGAATAGAAAGGGGAAGGTGGTCACATGAGAGATGGCCAGAGTGTGTACTCTCCCCTAACTTTACGTCCTCAAATGTTGCTGGACTACATCATCCCGACACAAAACATACGGAAAGAGGTAGGTTGGAGAAGGTTGCTGTAAAAACCAAGGAGAGAACTTGCAGGTGCTGGAAAGACGCCGCAAAGAGACTGGCATTCAGGCAGGAGAAGTCACAGACAGTTCCAACACAAATACTGAAGTTCCCAAGGAAAAGGATAGGAGATTGAGAGAGAGGAGAAAAGGAAAGTCATGCATCAAAGTCAGACACAAAAGAGGCAGATTTAGTAACCTTTAGGGATCTTCCTCCTTCTGTCCCCTTGTGGAACAATATCCCTGCAACAATTATATTCTTCTTCAGAGAATTGCAGGCAGTCTATTCTGGTTAAAGCAATAATAAAGTTGAAGCTCCTTGTTTGGCCAAGCTCATCACCGCCTCAATTTTATTCATCAACAGAAAATGGTGAAAAGCCTATATTTTAAAAGAAATCTTAACCAGACTGCTTCATTTTCAGTCTTATTTTTCTCTTTATTTGTTTAAGCATATCTTAGTCAGTACGTGGTTATACTTCTAAGTATTTAAACAACAATAGCTGGTGTCAACTTTGCCACCATCAATCCTATGCACCATCATTTGCCGAATCCTACTGTTTCAATTTTACAGTGCTGGTCTTTTAAACCAGTTCTCTTTTAACACTCTTCCTTCTTTTGCATACCCGGTATCTTCAGGGTGCGGGTGGCGGGAAACAGCAAAAGTCCTCCCACGAACATATTGAATTCTTTCGTTAAGCAAGAGTCTAATTAAGAAAATCATCATAAGATCTTCAGGGTTTGAACTTCAGAAGGTGTTTTCTTGAAACAAGAGAACTGTGGGTGTTTGATCTTAATGGGAAAGAACATTTCCCTATCTGAGTTTAAGGGAAATGATTCAAACGAATCTGCATTCCCTCCAGAGCCTTCTGAGAGTCACTTTGGCAGCTTATCGTGGAGGGCATCAGTCTGGCTCTCAGACAAGCCTTCAGTGAGTACACTTACAAGTCATTGATTCTCACTTCATTCTGCACAAGCTGCACTAGCCTAGCACATCCTCTGGAAAAGATGCACACATTTTGAAAGACTGGAGACAAAGCAAGGCAGCTGTAAATAATGTTACCAAAATAAAGCACAAAAAGTTGGAGAATTTACAGGGACTATTCCAAGCCAATGGTAAATTGGTACCAAAGAAAGATGCTAGGACGTGAAGATAGTGGTTACAAACTGACATTCCAAGGGGTCACAGGAAGAAACAGATTAACATTTTTAATACAGTGGTACCTCAGGTTACAGACGCTTCAGGTTACAGACTCTGCTAACTCAGAAATAGTACCTCGGGTTAAGAACTTTGCTTCAGGATGAGAACAGAAATTGTGCTCTGGCGGCACGGCGGCAGCGGGAGGCCCCATTAACTAAAGTGGTACCTCAGGTTAAGAACAGTTTCAGGTTAAGAACGGACCTCCAGAACGAATTAAGTTCTTAACCCAAGGTACCACTGTACTCTCTCCCTCCCACCCTCGTTTCAAAAAATTAAGCAGCTCTCCCAAAGATTTGGTGTTTTTTCTTGTAAAATGTACAATATATTTATATAATATATTAGACAATCTACTGGAGGTAGATAATGGAGGGGGAAAGATGACATTAACTTGAAGAATCAGAGCAATGGCAAACTACCTGAGCCACACCAACCTCCTATAAAGTGACACAATATCAGGATCTTCGGTGGATGCTAAGTAGCTTATCCTTGGAGCAGGTATTCTGGGATGCCTTAATATGCCTAACAGTTTGTGGTAAGACAGAAGACAAACAGGGACTTTATATGTACAACACACCATGTCAACACTTGGAAAGTCTACCTGACATTTGTGGCAGAACATTTGTGTTGGCATGGAATGTACATACAAAGTCCCTGTTTGTCTTCTGTCTCACCACAAGCTGTTAAGCATACCAAGGCATCCAGAATGCCTGCTCCAAGGATCTCTCCAATTCCCAATCTGAGGTCAAATTTTCTTACCTTCCTTCCCGTCCTAACTTTTGAAAAACAAAAACAGTTCACCAATATTAAGGCATAATTACATGCAATAAAGCAGCAACAAAATTAATCCAAGCAAAGACCTTTAAAGTTCAGGCAGAACTAAATGCCTGTATGAAGAGATGCATTTGCCAAAATCACTAAAGAAAGGTGCTAAGCGAATGGTCATGGAGAGGAAGTTCCATAAACAGGGCACCACTAACAATAAGGCCCTGACACTGATAATCAGGTCCCTCACGTCAGAAGGCAGGAAAGTTCAGAGCTGGGTCTACAACAAAAGCCTTAATATTATGCAAAAAGTGGTGTAATGACTACAGCTTTGGACTACAGCCTGGGAGACCAGGGTTCAAATGCTCAAACATGAAACTCACTGGGTAAACTTGGGCCAATCAATATCTTAGCCTAACCTACTTCACAGGGGTGTTGTGAGGATAAAATTGAGAGGAAGAGAACCAGGTATGTCACCTTGAGCTCCTTAGAAGAAGGGTGGAATATAAATGATAGATGATAGATAGATAGATAGATAGATAGATAGATAGATAGATAGATAGATAGATAGATATAGATATCCAATTGGAAGATAGTTCAGATATTGAACTGTTATGAATTTAGACCTCAAAATCAGAAGTTAGAACTGTGCCTAGTGGGATGCAAGTGGCGCTGTGGTCTAAACCACAGAGCCTAGGGCTTGCCGATCAGAAGGACGGTGGTTGGAATCCCCAAGATGGGGTGAGCTCCCGTTGCTCGGTCCCTGCTCCTGCCAACCTAGCAGTTCGAAAGCACGTCAAAGTGCAAGTAGATAAATAGGTACCGCTCTGGCGGGAAGGTAAATGGCGTTTCTGTGCGCTGCTCTGGTTCGCCCGAAGTGGCTTAGTCACGCTGGCCACATGACCTGGAAGCTGTACACCGGCTCCCTCGGCCAGTAAAGCAAGATGAGTGCCGCAACCCCAGAGTTGTCCGCGACTGGACCTAATGGTCAGGGGTTCCTTTACCTTTACCTTAGAACTGTGCCTAGAACAAGCTGGTAGTCAGATATGTTCCCTCCACCCAATACCAGACATCATTTCCAAACAGCATTCATAGGAAGCTTCCAGAAGGCATGGGGACCCTGTGGTCTTCCATATTTAGTCCCATCATCCTGGGGTTGGGAGTTGTCAGCCAGAAACATCTGGAGGACCACATGTGAAGTGCAGCGTGCAGGTCAGCAGCAGAAGTTATGCAGTCTCCTCACTGCTCCCCTTTCCTCTTCTCCACTCACAACATCACATGGATGGTGTTACCTTGCCCTCCTCTCTCCCCCATTGCTGTGAGCAGGGAAGCCCCACCCATCAACCAACAGCAGACTTCCACAAAACAGAGGGGTAAGAGATTGAGAAACAGAGAAAGAAGCTGCAAAGAGGAGGCACCACAGGAATCACAGAGGAGCCCACAGAAAGTTGAAACCAGCTTGGATAACTTGCTGCAGGACGAGTGGTGAATGTCTGGCCCACCAGATGTTGTTGGGACTCTAACTCATGCACCTCAATTAAAGATGCTTCCTCTGCACCTGGTACCATTTCACGCAGACTTTTACTACATCCACTCCTGTAGGGACTGCAAATTCATTCAGCCAATACACCTTAATAACTCTGAATATGATGTTATGCCTTATCCGATTGATGATCTGCATTTTAATATCTCCCTAAACACATATTTACCAGCAGAGTCATAAAGCTGTTTAAAATCTATTGTAGCAAACTCTCCTCTTACTTCCAGAGGTTGGTTGGTTGGTTGGTTGATTGTTTATTTATTTGAAAAATATTTGCTAAACAGCATTCCAGCTCTTGCTTCAATTGGGCTTGTGATGAAAAAGTGTAAAAGTAGTGTTGGCTAATATGCCCACTCATATTATAAATGACTCTCCTCCACTTCTTCCTCTTCATTTACACCATTATAAGATGTAAACATAAACAACACAAGAGAGGCTTAAAGGTGATGTAATCCTTGCATACAAAAATGCACTACGGAGTATATTGCCAACCCAAAAGTCAAAATTATAAAGGAGACAAATCTCAAAAAGGAACTGAGTATTTATTTTGTGTTGTGCACACTGTAAAGAAGTAAGGCATGTTCAAGGTCACCGCATGTCTCACTAAGGCGATTTTCAAAGCTGTCACTTCCCAAAGGAAGATACTGACAGTGTAGCATTAGCACTGCATCTCTCTGATTAACTGTTTGCATTTCTCAGTCAGTATGATACGGGTATATCAAAGTATACACACCTAAGTAGAGGCTTCTTACAAAATAAAGTGAAGAGGAAGGAGAAGTTGCCCCGTTTGTCTTAAAATAAAACAAGGCTAAAGGAAAATGTATCAATAGATATTTGCATTCACTGCCAGCCATTGCAGTTTATATACAGAGAACATTAAACAGGCAAAAATGCAAATCAACAAATAAAAAATAAATAAATAAAAACTCTAGAGTGGCCTTACTTTAATGGCATCCACCAGAAATATTGTGGACTTCAGAGACACCAGACTATCTCAGTCTGCAAGGAGAAGACTAAAAGGAAAGCAGGTCAGATAGTACAGTTTCCTCTCTTCCTGCTCCTTGCCACAGTAATGGCTCATCCACACTACTGCTTGGGCCTGCTGCTTTCCCTCAGGAAAACTCCCTCTTTACTGCTAAATCAAAGCAAACATCAACTGGGTTTCCTCCAGATTAGCATTTACTATGATTCAGCAGGAAAGAGGGAGATTTCCCAGGAAAAGCAGCGGGGCAAACTGAAAACTGTCCACACCTGCACTTTCTAGACATTGGACAAATTAAAGTGTTGACATACACCTTTCAGATGTACATTATTCTGCCAATATCACATTAAGACAGGCCATGTATATTCTTGCCCTCATTGCGCCCCGAAGAAGCTACCTTATGCATCAACGTGGCTATCAAAAATGAGCTAGAACCCACAGAACAGCATGCTCTTTACCTGGCTAGTCACAATGAGAACCAGCAGTGGAGACATTTCCCCCTCAGCAACCACAGTTTAATTGATTGTTTATTTTCACCTTCACTTAGCTGTATCCTTGAGTGTTTTGCTGCCCTTGAATATGCACCCACTCCTGAAAATGCTGCTACTATGGCAATACATTACTGCCTGACCCAGTTCTACCTGAAATCTAATCAGGGCTTTTAGGCTGGGTTTTGGGTGCTGCAGAATCATATTTGGCAAACTGAGCCAAGAGCTAGTGTCAAGCCAAGACAAAGCAGAATTGTACAAAGACTGTGCAGTCTAAGCATTTCTGCACTGTGCCCAGTTAAATATAGGCTCCAAATACTAGCTAATGAAGGCACTTCGAGAAATGTCTTTAAGGTTAATAGAAATAACGTCTGACTTGGGTAACTTGACATATTACTCCACTTACTTTCTCAACTCACATGGATAAAAATGAGGTGAACAGGTTTGAAATGGGGCACAAGCTGTTATATCGTAAACCGCGTAAACCTCAGATGAAGGGTAACATAGAAACAAATACATAAATAATATCTAGCTTATATGATTTGGGGTCTAATCTCTAAAAATCCATTCCTAATTTGGTCAGCCTAAACTCAAGAGATTTAAGTTGGGGGGGGGGTTTAATGAACTGAAAGTGATTTGAGACAAGTTTAGTTTTTCATAGTGTGCATATCTATTATCATTTGACCTGCTACGGACAATGGTCATGTGGATTTTGCTTTGAGACAATACAAAAATATTGAAATGCCTATTAACCTGTCTGATTTGCTAACCAACATTAAGGCTAGGTTTTCCTATTTGTACATAACAAGAAACTCTAGGTGAACGTAAATCAGAATCTGTGAAGTGAAGACGGCATATGAAGGGGTGGGACGTGGAAGAAGTGCTCAGCACAAAGACTCTTTCATAGCTTCATAAACTGTGGTTGATGGAGCCTGGAATGATCATCCGAGCCAGGCCACTATGAGTAGCAATTTGATTTCAAATCACTTTCAGTTCTCTGAAGAACACCTTTGGGTTTTAAGATGACGCACCTGAAATAGTTAAAAGATGGAGCCACTACATTTGCAGCGAAACTTAGACTCAGTCCTCCAAAGGGGGGGGGCAGGGTAGGAAGGGGGTGTGAATGATTCAAATATTTAAATAAATTAAGCTCTGGCACACTATAGCAAGAGATTTAACATAAAGCACAGAGCAACTCAGAATGTCAATCTGCCATCTCACACTGGCACTTCACCAATGAAAATGAAATATACTATAAACGAGCTCAAGTAGCAATAATCATGCTTTCATTGGTCTGTAGTACTGAAGATAAAAATTTGCAGAACATTAAACCAGCACACATCCTATCCACTTCTAGGCAATGGGCAATAAATACATATGTTCTACAAACGGGAGGAAATGTTACAAGACGCAACATGTGCTCCATATTTGAATGTGTGTTCCCACAAAATAAAGTAAGATTTGCTGCATAATGCATTCCCTGTTCAGGCAGAATCCTGCCTCCCCCATCCCCCCAAAAGCAGGGAACTTGCATAAAACGCAGACAAGGCTTCTCTCTAAACACGATTGTGACAGGTGCCCTATAAATAACAGCAGAGCCCGACAGAAACAGCACACGTTGCAAGTAGGAAGCCTAAGTGGCAAAGACATTTTCACCGGGCATGCCAACTTAATGAGAGTTGTCACCCAAACTCTTCTGCTTTGCTGCTAACAGGATGCAATAGCAAATGTGGGCAGCTACTTATGAAGGAGTGGGCAGAGGTAGATGGTTTTTCAGTCAAATGAGATGTGGTGCTTTTAAGTGCAAGCTTCCTGCCAATGCCAGCACCCAAAAATCTTCTCTGTTTCACAGCTTCTTATTTATTATTACATTTTATTCTCATTTTTGTGGTTACATCTTTACCGTGCCTTTTCTCCAAGAAGTTCCTTTTACCCTTGTAACAACTTTATGTGATAGGCTGTGCTGAGAGATGGGCACTGTGGCCAAGGTTACCCATTGTACTTTGTGGCTGGACAGGTATTTGAATTGGCTGTGCCCAGATTTTAAATCCAACACCCTAAGGTAAAAGGTAAAGGTAAAGGACCCCTGGACTGTTAAGTCCAGTCAAAGGCAACTGTGGGGTGTGGCGCTCATCTCACTTTCAGGCCGAGGGAGCCAGTGTTTGTCCACAGACAGTTTTCCGGGTCATGTGGCCAGCATGACTAAACCAAAACACTGTGAAGGAAACCAGAGCGCACAGAAATGCTGTTTACCTTCCCATCGCAGTGGTACCTATTAATTTACTTGCACTGGTGTGCTTTCGGACTGCTAGGTTGACAGGAGCTGGGAGAGAGCAACAGGACTTCACCTCGTCGTAGGGATTCAAACCGCCGACCTTCTGATCGGCAAGCCCAAGAGGCTCAGTGGTTTAGACCACAGTGCCACCTGCATCCAACACCCTAACCACGACATCACACTGGGCCTCTTAGCATACTTCAGGGAAAGAAATAAAATTCTTAAAACAAATTAACTGACCAAATGCATACAAATATGTGTACTACTTAAAGGGAAATTTATAATTAATATATGCACACACACATTTTTCTTCCTGTTCCCAAGCATGGTTACAAGAAAGAAAATACCTCCAAAACCAATAATAAGAAGTATAAGTTTTTAAAGTCAATAGTACTAGTTCAAGCTCTAAAATCTATTTTTATGGCCAAGAATACACTCCCATAGAAACAGCAGGAAACAATCAGAACTGTGGAGGCTTAAAATCTATTATTTATTTATGACATGAGAAGGCAGGCCACCAATACAGAATTACCGTATTTTTCGCCCTATAGGACGCACTTTTTCCCCTCCAAAAATGAAGGGGAAATGTGTGTGCGTCCTATGGGGCGAATGCAGGCTCTCCTGAAGCCTGGAGAGCGAGAGGGGTCGGTGCGCACCGACCCCTCGCTCGCCAGGCTTCAGGAGCGCCCCAGCGCCAGCCCCACAAGGTCGGGGGACAGCGGGGAGGCGGAACGCCGCCATCCCGCTGTTTCCCGATGTGGTTTGGAGGCTGACGGCAGGGAGACGCGTGCTTCTCCCCGCCGCCAGGCCCGCAAGCTCGGGGGACAGCGGGGAGGTACAGCGCGCCTTCCTGCTGTCCCCGGACCTGGTCTGAAGGCTGGCGGCGGGGAGAAGAGTGCTTCTCCCCGCTGCCGGACCCACAAGCGCCGGGGGGAAAATAATTTTCCCCCCTTTATTTCCCCCCCAAAAAACTTGGTGCGTCCTATGGGCCGGTGTGTCCTATGGGGCGAAAAATACGGTATAATCCCACAGGCTACAAGTGGTATAGCAAAATTTGAGGAATAGTTCCTGGAGTCAAAGAGAGGGAATCTGTGGTCCATCTGTGGCAATCATAATGGGATCAGAGTCAATAGATCAGAATCTAAACCACAACCAAGGGACAATCTGGGATTGAGGCAGCAACACAAAGCATGAAGTCCTAAACTAGACGCATCAGCCTTGACAGAAACCCAAAAGCAGAAACTGGAAAACTGGAGCAAAGCTTAAAGCCAAGTGATCAGGTCAGATCAATGAACCAATGTGGACGCAGGATAAAAGGGCAAAAGCAGGCTTATGGCAGGGTACATAGGAACCCACGAGTCAGACTGCTTTAGACAGGAGTCTAAACTGCGGTCGTTTCCAAATTTGTTCATGATAGTTGACACAAAGACCTTTAAGCCCTTTCCTACTGGAGCTACATTAGCCAACAAAGTCAAACTCGGCTGACCAACCATCTCTGGTGTCCCAGCAAAGGCACAATAGACTGTTTTAACTTCCTTTCAAGGGACCGTAAAAATGGAAAGGGCTGCCAAAGACTTGTCAGGTAGCCAAAACATGGGAGTTTATTGTGCCCCTGGTGGATAGCAATACATGATTGGTGGGCTGTGTTTGATTTGGTGGCCACAAGCTATACAGATCACATGACTGGTTGGGCAAAGGCTAGCTTAGTAAATTTCAAGTTTCACATCTCCTGGTAGAGATAATTTGACAGCAGCTCCTTTGTAAAGAAAGGGGAAGAAACAAAAACTGCTATGTGCCAACAATAACTCCTCCTTAATTACCATGTCAGAAGGTAGCTATGGTAAAGCAAGAGAGGAGCAGTTGTCAATAGCCTCCTAACCCTGGTGGCACATTTAGTTTTATGACAAATAGGGGATGATGCTCAACAGCTATTTGATGAGCTATCAAACAGCTGCCAGGGACCATGCACTGCTGCTGCACAGCTGGAAGTGCACACCACTGCATCATTAAAAGGGCAATAACTGCAAGCTCACAGCACATCGAACACTGCCAACTTTGTTTTGACGAGTTATTTGTGGCCCTAATCAGCTGCGAAGGCTCTTTAGGAAAGAGGCACTGTTGTAAAGAGGGATTAATCTTAGCAGCAACCATGCAGTTATTAAAAATCAGCTGGCACATAAAATCCTGATGGAGAGGTGCAAGTGTATGTCATGGCCATATAAAAACGAAAAAAGCAAAAAAAGCTATCAACTCTATTAAAAAGAAGAAGAAAGGATTGAAAGCTGCACAGCAGTAAATCAATAAACTGTGATAGTAAATATTGCTTGGAGGATGTCAGTAGAGAAAATCAGGCATCTCTAATATCCTCCTTCAACAGGGTTATCTATGGAATAACATCTTATATTATTATAGGTATGGTAGTGTTTTGCAGAGGACAAAAGCAAAACTGTAGGAGAAAATAGCTATTGCTGTTTGGAGGCTGACCTGGTTAATGGGTTGCAGTAAAATAAATAAAATGAATAGGACAAGGAAGGAGCTAGCAGGGAGAAGGGGAAAGAACATCATAATAGGAAATGGTCAAAATTTACAATTAGGCCTTACAAAAGCAACATTTCACTCAGGCCATAAAGGGTCATTCATTTCGTGCTATGGTCTCTGCCAGATTCTCACACAATCTATCAAAAACACTCTGGCTGGTCTCATTTGCACGCAAAGAGCTGAAACAAAAAATAAACACTGTGTGAGGAAAATTGGTTAATCAGCATTCATGATAATTTAATAAACACAAATTAAAAATAAATAAATCTAGGCAGATCCCTTCTAATTCTCACTAGCGCTTGTTTATTGTGGTTTCAAAAACAGGAGCTCAAAAGAACCCAATAATTTTACAAGCATGCAGAAGCTTTAGGCAAAAAAGGTTAGAGCAAGCACTCCAGATCTTATTGTTCAGCACCACTCCTGTAAATCAATTCAAAAAACCACACCACGAAATTCACACCCAGATCCAATATTTATGCTTTAGAAGCAAACTGCATCAAAGTGTGTGTTTGTGAGAAAGGCAGAAAGATTGATACACTTCATTTGAACTGTGCTCCTAAGGGGCTTTGATGGCACTTCTTAATGTCTGTGAGACTTTTCCCTCTCACTGTGTGCTCCACTCAGGGTAGCTTTGTGCATTTACTTGGAAACCCAAGCACAAAGTGCATGTAAATGGCATCATTTATTAAGAAGCAGGTGTGTATAGCCTGCAATATGAGGAAGATATATAGAAAAGTGGACCATAAAGAAGGCTGATCGCCGAAGAATTGATGCTTTTGAATTATGGTGCTGGAGGAGACTCTTGAGAGTCCCATGGACTGCAAGAAGATCAAACCTATCCATTCTTAAGGAAATCAGCCCTGAGTGCTCACTGGAAGGACAGATCCTGAAGCTGAGGCTCCAATATTTTGGCCACCTCATGAGAAGAGAAGACTCCCTGGAAAACACCCTGATGTTGGGAAAGATGGAGGGCACAAGGAGAAGGGGACGACAGAGGACAAGATGGTTGGATAGTGTTCTCGAAGCTACCAGCATGAGTTTGACCAAACTGCGGGAGGCAGTGGAAGACAGGAGTGCCTGGCATGCTCTGGTCCATGGGGTCACGAAGAGTCAGACACGACTAAACGACTAAACAACAACAACAAATATAGAAAAGTAATACAAAGCAGTGAAGAATGCAACCCTGTAGTCAATTAGGAGTAAGACTTCCCCAGCTTGGCACCATCCTGATGTTTTGGACTACAATTACCATAATTCCTAACCACTGGACGTGCTGGCAGGGGCAGGTGGGAATTAAGAGTCCTAAACACCTGCTGGACAGCAGGCTAGGAAAATTTGGAGTAACTCCTACTGTGGGACTTTTGAGAAAGAACCTAAGAGCAATGCTGCATCACACCAAAGGTCCATATGGTCCAGACTAAAGATGGGAAGGCCTGGAAAAAACAAAAACAAAAAAGGGGGGGCAGGGTATCCAATCTTTCTGATTCTTTTCTAGTCCAGCATCCTGTTCTCATATTCATGAACAAGACGCATGTGGGAAGCCCACAAGCAGGGCAAAACTCGAGTGCCATGTTTCTCAGCAAACTGGTTTTCAGAAGCAAGGCTCCTCTGATCTTTGGGGTAGTATACAGTTACCATAGTATCTGTAGTAGCCATCGATGGCCTTATTCTCCAGGAATTTGTCTGACCTCATTTTAAAGCAGTCCCTGCTGGTGACCATTGCTAAATCCTGCATGAGTGGAACCCATAGTTGGATTGTGTATTGTATGAAGGGGGACTTCCTTTTGTCTTGTCCTGAGTTTCTGGAGCGTGACTGGATAACCAGTTTGGGTATTATGAGAGACGGATCAGACACTGCTTCCTATCTACTTTCTACACACCTTTTATAAAACAATACACCTCTGTCATTATCTCCCTTTAACTCATCCTTTCTCAGACATGTGCAGGATCCACCTGCGTGTCCTAATGTGTACTATGAACTGTGGACTCCCTGATACCATCCTACAATCAATAGTCCTAGATTGCTCAAAAGGTAAGTGGATTCAGCAGTATGCAAGCTGAGAACATACAAACCAAAGACATTCATGTAACCTGGTCTGGCCTATGTAAGTAGCACCACCACTGTGCTGTTCCTTCCGCCCTTAACTCATCGCTATGGCAGTTGTGTTGTTCGGTGCTGTCTTGTACATGCAGTACTTGTCTGGGAGATTTAACAGCATAACAGTGGTGGAATTGTGATGCTAAGAATAGCCATTGTCAGAGGTGCCAAGTTAATCTACGGAAGGTGTGTGTGACACATCCCCCTCAACAACTGTGCATATGCACAGGATGTGAACTGAGTACCAGCCGAAATGTGATGCTTCTTTCATTTCCAGCTGACTTGATCGCTAGCTTTAGTTTTAAATGGTATTTGGTGCTGGTCTCTCTTGTTTAGATGCAAATAGCAGCTGGTGGGATTTCTATGTAGTGAGGGATAAATGGGAGACTACCACCCCCCCAAAAAAAAATCCCTCCCCATTTAAAAAAATAATAATAATTACATTTCTAGCATAATTTTTAGAAAGACAACAACATCTGATGCCCCTTTAAATGTGTTGTGGAAGGGGGGGTTATATATGCTTTTATTTTTATTATATATTTTGTATTTTTTATATTGTAGTTTTGAGCTGTGAACCACCCTGGGATCTACGGGTACAGGGTAGGTCAATATGCAAATTTAATTAATAATGAGAATAAGAATAAATAAGAATAAGAAGGCCTTTGTTTCTCTCCTTAAATATACAATAGCCCATAAAAGTACGATGGATAATTCTCTGGATAACAAAAGAAACAATTCAGAAAAAAATGTGTAACAAGTGATTAAAAATAGCCAATATTATGTGAAGTGTATTGTTGAAGTAATTCAATTTTTAAATGTCAATCAATTGTCTTTCGGGGTGATTCAGGGTGTGAACAATTAGGAGTAGAGGCAAGCTGGCTCTTTTTACAGTTATTTGCATTTTCTATGAAAAAAGATCAAAAATTGCAAGGAATTGTGATAACAATTCTTGCAAATGCTAAACACGTCAGCACTGAAATCCAATATGAAGTAATCCACATCATGACTAAAATAATTCTAGAAATTATTATGAAGCAAATTAATTAAAGTACTTGTGTAAAATTGCTAGCTTATGAGATTAGGGACAAACAATGTAAAGTGGTACTTTGGTTCCCGAACAGCTTGGCTCCCGAACAAATCGGCTCCCGGATGTCGCAAAAGTAAGTATCCCAGTTTGCGAACGTTTTTTGGAAGCCAAACATCCATTTTGGCTGTCGGTATTGTTTCTGGGGCCAATCAGCCAATCAGAAGCTGCGCCTCGGTTTGTGAACATTTTGGAAGTCGAATGGACTGAGTTCGGGAACCAAGGTACCACAGTATTGTAAATATAGAAATGCTCTCTGATTACAGTCAACAACCATTTTGTTCTGTTCCCAACCCCCAAGTGCATTGGCATAGTGCACATAAGCACACCGTGGCCCCATTCCACCCTTTTAGCAGCGTGTTTAGGGATGTTTTCGGTTCACTTCTGGGTTCGGCGCCATGCGCGTGTGTGCAATCATGCATCATTCGAACGCATATTTAATTGGCCATTGCCTATAACTTGCAAGCATGAAGCCGACAGAAATATGCGTTGCAATTTACGAGCTTTGTTCACAAAGTGCTTAAAATATAACATCTGAAATTTTGTCAACATTGACTGGCTTACAGTCAAATTATGACAAACTAATTGCCCAATCATATGATGGAGATCTGTCATAAAAGGTTTATCAGCTGGTTTTCAAGCTCTAATCTCTAAAGAACTTATGTGAAAAACTTTGTTCCTGAATTGCTTTAATCACCAACTCTACTTGGTACATGCAGTTATCAAAATGTACATGCAATTGAGGCTATACCTGAGATGAAGAAATGTTTTGACTTATTTGAACAGCAGTATGTGTTGTTTTAAGAAGAAACCTGCTGAAGTTGCTTAGTAAAAACTTTTGACGTTGTAGTATGGCTGTAAAAATGAGAGTTAAATAAAAAAGTTCGTGATTTTGTCTTTAAAAGGCCTGTGAACTAGATAAACTGCCCCCTACTTTTTGTTGTTGTTGTCATTCCCACAACTTTCTAGAAAGGCTACAGGCCTGGATGGAGACAGACAGAAAATTATTTGAAGTGTACACACATAACCTATATGGGTTTCTTTCTGCTGAGTGATTAATTACAGGTAAAACAACCCCACAGAACTTTTGACGCCCTCCTGCCCATTCCATGACAGTTCACCCACTGACAAACAACTTTTGAAATGCTTTCCTATTGAGAGCAGTCAGTCAATCAATGTGGGGTGCTGGTCTCTGGAGCAGGGGGTTGGGATAGGGAAGAATCCAGAGTCCCACTGCAGATCTTTGCATCACTGCCAAAATAATTTAAAAATAGGCAATCCCCATAGGGTTTGAAACTAAAACAATCCACAGCACAAGAATTATTGCATGACAGGGATGGGAATTCAACTTCTGGAATGCTAAATGAATGCAGGAAGCAATCTACCATTTGGCCCTCTGCCCTGGTGAACATAAAGATTGTCAGAAGTCTGTTTAGTCCAGCACTGACTGCAACAGTGATAAGTTCAACGCACCAAGAAAGCTGTTGTTCCTCATAAAACAGCTAGGAGCCCTTCCACCAACTTAGCATACTGTATTTCCAACTCCCCAAACACTCTTCAGACTGCCCATAGATCTGAAAGAGCAGTTCACAATGGACCTGTGTGGTTGGCTCAGTACAATGGCAAAATACTTGTCTAAGTTTGGAGTTGCAGCTTCTACTGGGGCACCCCACACTGCAGCCGTGGGGGTCTATTCAGATCATCTGCCCTCAGCGACTGAATATTCTGGGAGATTTTCCAGTGGATAGATCCTGTCAATGCTCTAGTCTCACAATGGCAGGATAAGGTGAAATATCAACATAATCCCTCCTGAGCACCCTCTCCAACACTTTGGAGCCCGTTCAGCACCTGGCTTTCCAAAGAATACCTTGGAACATTATTCCTATTGAAAATAGCCAAGCAACTGGAGTGCTGAAGTTTCTCCACCTGTTGAGAAGCATTTTTGTTTCATCAAGCATTCTAGAAAATCCTGTTCATAGTTGGTCAATTTGTCCTGCATTTTATGATGTTTTAATGATTTCCATTGTACTTTTTAGTGCACACTGCTGCAATGTTTTTTAGTATGATTTAGGAGATTTATAATTACCCTTTAATTACCCCTATTGGCTAGTGGACAGCTGGCTGGGCCAGGAAGGTAATTAATGTCTCCATGTGAAAGAGGGTCCCTGCCTGCTTAAATGAGGCAGTGGTAAAACCACTCCTCAAGAAAGCCTCTCTGGATTAAGAAAATCTAAGCAATTACTGGCCAAAGGCCAACCTCCCCTTCTTGAGCAAGATTACTGAGCTGTGTTCATGGACCAGATCCAGGAGCTCTTGGAGGAAACTGAATTTCTGTCGGGATTTGGGCCCAGTTTGGGCCCAGAAACTGCTTTGGACACTTTGTATGATGACCTCTGTTGGGAGAAAGAATGGGGAAATGTGTGTGTGTGTGTGTGTGTGTGTGTGTGTGTGTGTGTTGTTCCTGTTTTTATTGTGCATTTTGTGCATTTATCTTTGCTTTTATCTTTTGAACCGCCCTGAAAGCTACAAATGAAGGGTGGTACAGTGGTGCCCCGCAAGACGAACGCCTCGCAAGACGGAAAACCCGCTAGACGAAAGGGTTTTCCGTTTTGGAGGCGCTTCGCAAAACGAATTTCCCTATGGGCTTGCTTCGCAAGACGAAAGCCCATAGGGAAATCTCCGGGGACCTCTTTTAAATGCTAGCGGTGGGGAGCAAAGCCTTCCCCCCCCCCTCCGGCCTTCAGAAGAGGTCCAGGAAGGCTGGCGGGGGCCGAAGGCTTTGCTCCCCACCGCCAGCATTTTAAAAGCAGTCCGGGATAGCAGGGAAGCGCTTCCCGCTATCCCGGACGGCTTTTGAAGGCAGGAGAGGTCCGCGAAGCCTGGGCGCGCTGATCTCAGCGCGCGCAGGCTTCGGCATGCCGGCAACTCTCCGCAAGCAGCGGCAGCGCTGCCGCTGCTCGCGGAGAGGTCCACGAAGCCTGGGCGCGCTGATCTCAGCGCGCGCAGGCTCCGGCATGCCGGCAACTCTCCGCAAGCAGCGGCAGCGCTGCCGCTGCTCGCGGAGAGGTCCGCGAAGCCTGGGCGCGCTGATCTCAGCGCGCGCAGGCTTCGGCATGCCGGCAACTCTCCGCAAGCAGCGGCAGCGCTGCCGCTGCTCGCGGAGAGGTCCGCGAGCCTGGGCGCGCTGATCTCAGCGCGCGCAGGCTTCGGCATGCCGGCAACTCTCCGCAAGCAGCGGCAGTGCTGCCGCTGCTTGCGGAGAGGTCCGCGAAGCCTTGGCTGGACAGCTTTTGAAGGCAGGTGGGGGGACAAAGACTTTCGCCCCCGCCAGCCTTCAGAAGAGGTCCAGGACCTCTTCTGAAGGCTGGCGGGGGCAAAGTCTTTGTCCCCCTGCCTGCCTTCCCAGGGGCTTTAAATTGCCCCGGACAGCGGAGAAGTCCTCCGCTGTCCCGGGGCCATTTTAAAATGCGGCCCGACAGCATTTTAAGAGCGCGCCGGCCAGGGGAGAAGCCCTCCGCTGTCCCGGGGTTTTAAAATGCTGGGGTGGAGTGGGAAGAAAGCCCTTGTCCCCCCCAGCCTTCAGAAGAGGTCGGGGGACAGACTGTCCCGGACCTGGTCTGAAGTCGGTTTCCCTAGGAACGCATTAATTGATTTTCAATGCATTCCTATGGGAAACCGTGCATCGCAAGACGAAAAACTCGCAAGAAGAAAAAACTTGCGGAACGAATTAATTTCGTCTTGCGAGGCACCACTGTATACAAATTTATAAATAAACTAACCCATAATATATGTATATCCAGGGCTACACAGATGCCTGTGGCATTCTGTAACTCTCAACCATTTCATTGACACAATTATTATTTGGAAAATCTACATGACCTTGACATCAAACTCATTTGCTGGTCTGACATCTTATTGTGAACTCATCTGGCTGTTAATATACAGGCCAGGACATGAAACTGAACTTAATTGTAGAATACTTCAATGATTAGTCATTTTGTAGTTTTCAACCACACACACACACACACAATCATCCCTATTTAGTACTGTTCAGCTTGCACTCAGAATAGCAACTTTGCTCTACTGTGAGTATAGTCTATTTTTTCCAAAAGAAACACATAGCTGAAGCTGGGGCATATTTTGGAGATGGTACAGTGAAGCTCCTTCTTACAGCAACATCCTGTGTATGTGGTGCTACCTTTAGCAAATATATCCAAAGACAGACTGCTTACTGTAGCTGATGTTCTTCAAATAGTCATCTTGGAGACACACATATTGGGTCTTGAGCCAAACAAATCTTGGAACCTCCTAGAGCTGAAGAAAAAAGAAGAGAGCATTCATCACTCCATTGGGAAGCCCCTGTGCTGTGTCCATGAAACCGCAGAGATTTCACCTCTACCCTTGCTCTTTAACTCCAGGTTAAAGAAGGTTTTGAGATGCTGCTCTGCACAGGTACAGAACTCATACAGAACTCACAAGGGCCTGCAGAAAATGAGCTCAGATAATTTGATGCTATTATGGTATATTGTTAAAAAGCTTTGCAGGCCTCATGCTTGGTCAACACCTCAATGGGAGACTTACAAGCTACTTCTCATAGCAAAAATGGGAAATCATGGTGCAATAAACAAATGGAACAATGCAGGTTGGGGTCTCAAGAGCGTCCCTGGCCCATTCACCCAGCACTACAACTTTTCTAAGATGGACTATGTTGCCATAGGGGAAAGCACTTGGTACTGCCTTTGCTAAATGCCAGCTGTGACACAGCAGAACCTCTGAAAAGGAAGTGCCAAAGACCTGTGCCACATTCTAGATTCCTGAATTGTTGGGTGAAGCGGATCTTCTTCCTCTACCATCCACCCAGACAGAAGAACCAAAGTTCCCTGTCCAAATTTAACAAAGGATGTCATTTTCTCCTAGAGACCACTTCATGGTTATTCAGTGTTGGGTGAAGGCAACACCTGGAATTATAATTCGCAGGTAGTATCATAAGGGATGAATATTAGCTATAGCTATATAGAAGAACTATAGCTCCAGCATTTGTTTAGGGAGATGCAGTACATCAAAGAAATATTAGACTTAATTGGCTGGTGATATCTTGTTTTACCCTTGACAAAATTCCTGGCAAGTCTTTAAAACAATTTGGTCTCATTTTTTTACCCCAGGGTTTGATGAACAGCATGAAGACGGTTTGCTGCTGTTCACAAAGTCCAAGACTGTCTCTAGGGCATACTCACTGGACAAAATTCTCCTCTAAAAGAACACTTGTTCACACATGGGAGTTCTGAAAATCTGTTGTTTCTCAGTCTACAATTAGTCAACTGCCTATAAAGCTGGAAGCTTTAAAGGACATTCTTGATCAAAGAAATACCCAGCACTTCTGCATAACTTTGGAGAATAGGACAAATGCTGCACAGGATTCCCAAAAATCATCATCAACTTTAGAGGGCACAAGATATAACTCAATTTCATAACATATCAAACAAAATCCATCCTTGATTAAACACTACAGAATAATTGTTTACAAAAACAAAAGGATGAACAAATAGATGCTACCACTGTATTAAATCTCTAGTGGTGATCAATTTAAATACTAAATAAGAAGCAGATGGTTCATGGACAAATTGGGCTGCTGCAAATGAGGGCTGGTGTGTGGTGTGTTTGTACTTCAGAATGGAGTTGTCAAACTGTTCATGATAGTGCCTCCTCTAGGTACATACATGTAAATTTATTCAGCTTTGACTCTTTAAAATACACTCTATTGTGAAAAGGAATGAGCCTGGTTCAGATATCTTTTAAAATAACTAAAACCACAAGTGTGCAATTACAAATGAAGATGCTCATCCCATTTATTTGTACAGTTAACTCACATCTTGTGCACATTTAACCTGTGTGATTGCAGCTTTACAAACTTGACAGCCAGTGGACTGGCACTGCGCAAATTAAACACACACACGGAGGAAAGCCTAAAAGCTCTTTTCACTGTGAGGAAACCTGGCACAGAAATACTGTATTTTTCCATATATAAGACACCCCCATGTTTAAGACGACCCCTGTTTTGTTTTTAACCCAAAATTAAGAAAACAAATCTCTAAATAAGAAGTGAAAGTCCGGACAATCAGCAGTGGCGGAAAGTTGTTGAGCTTTTTTGGGGTGATTGCTTTCAAAGTTTCCAGCACACAATGGTGCCGAAGCAAAGGCAGCAGCTGGGGCACCACACTTCCCAGAGTCTGATAAGGAAGCAAACAGCTTAAAAGCTCTCTGGCTTGTGTGGAGGTCAAGACCCACCCTGTGCACCAGCTTTGGAAAGGTAGGGGTGCCTGCGTGGGAGCAGTTCCAGGGCTGTTTTGACTATACACAAATTCAGCTTTATATGTCATCCCTTGAACATAACCCTCACACAAGTCGCGAGTCAACTGTACTCAGGTTTCCTACTCAAAATCTCGTTTGGAGAAGGCCTGACAGGCAATACCAAAGTGTTGGATCCAACACACTTAATAATCAGTGCCGTGGGCTTCGACAAGCACCTATCCCTTCAGCTCCACATAAATGATATCTTGCATAAACTACATTAACTGCATTTCAAATACCTAAGAAGTCTGCTAGGTGTTGTCAACCTCGTTTTTTCAGGCATGGTCAGACCTCCCTGTCTGCCCACCCACACCCCACCCACCCAAAAAACCCAGGAAGATCTATCAAGTCCCTAGAGGGCTAGACAACATGGCTGGTGGGCTTCCGTGAGCATGGTGGCTGATAAATTGTGTAAACCTGCCTAATCTGAACAAGATGTTAACTCAAAAAAACCATTCCAAAAACAGCCTCTCTTTAATCAATGTGGTGACAGGAGATTTTAATCTTCGAGAATTCTAGGTAAGATAAGCTACTCTAGGAAACACGATGACACTGTAGAGTTCCTATTCCCCAAAACACACTTTGCTTGCAACTATTAACTACACTTTTTGACATGGACCGCTTGATTGTGAATATAGCTGGATAGGGAGAGAAAGCTCTAAAAGGTCATGAAGTTTATTTGTTCCTCTTTCCCGTTCATTTTCCCATTAACATCTAGGGTCTTAAAGGCCCTGTAATTTGCAGCTCCTTCTCAGAAGATCAAAGGTGGTTATAAATCATACTTTCATTATAAAATGTATGTTTTTAAGAGTAAACTTCCTTTTCAGTGACATATAACCCCTGAAAGATATTTAGAAGTGAACTGTTCACTGGGGAGAGTGAGAGATAGAGAAGTGGGATATATCTCCTTAAAAAGCATTTTAGGACCGAATTACTCATGCAAATAGCTGCGAGATTGCCATTCCTTATTATTCCATTGTTATTTCTTGTATACTGTTTTATATTTGTATCTACCGATCTTTAATGTTGATTACGTTGTACAAAACAATTAACAACTATTTATATTAAGGTGGTTGCATTATAATATACAAGCACCTCCCCATTTGTTTGCGGTCAGCATGCGTGTGGCCGCTGACATGCATGCCATTTTCAGTGCCAAAAGGGGGGGGCAGAACGGAGTGGCATGCATCTTGCCGATGTGCGCAGTGGCTGGGAATGGAACCCCTGCATAAGTGGGGATTCTCCCGTAATCAACTTCTAGATCTGATAAAATTGTATTCAGACTAAGCACTGATTCTTACAATATTTTGTACAGGCACCCAGCTACCTGAATCATTACCTTGCTACTCAGTACATAAGAAACTTTTATTTACATCAAGTAGACCAGTACTGCTTACTGTGACAATGCACAAGTCAAATATAGGTCTAATTGAAAAGTAGAAATAATAATTTTAAAATATGCATTTTCTCACATTACAGGAGGAAGCATATTTTTGTCCTTAGATATCCTACTTCTACTGAGCTGCAAAATTCAAAACACTTGGTTTCAAGATTTCAAAATTCAGTACTGTCCCAAGGAAAGCAGGCCATTCCAAATAAGCACAAGTGGCACATAAATTCAAAAATCAGGTACATATTCAGTACAAATGAGGAATATGCACATAATGATATAAAAACATGTATTAAAAAGGCACAGTTGGACAGTCTGAAAATGATGTGCTTTTATTGTTCATAACGATACAACTGACAGCAAAAGCTCTTCACATGAGACAGCTTTGAGTAAAATCCAATTAAAAATCCACCTTGGGGAATAGATGTAGCTACTAAACTGGGTCTGAATAATTCTTCTCGTTTAATTTTCTAATTTAATGTTGTTTGTGTATACATTTTTTTATTTTTGTTGCAACATATTCAATATGAGTTGTTTTGCAAAAGGAACACAATTCAATTATTACTTAAGAATTTCACATATGAAACCTTAACAACCAATTGAGACTTAATTATAAGGTCAGACCTATCAGTCAACTAAGGAAGACTCCCCAACCCCAGTGCCCTCCAGATGTTTTACACTACAGCACCCATCAGCTTCAATCAAGTTAAAGTTGTAGTACCAAACAGCTGGAGGGTACAAGATTTATGATGCTAAACTGATGCTTTCTGTCAAAGTATAGCCCCCCAATGTTGCCATAACATTGAAACTCTTTTTTCAGGCAAACTCACTAGAACAATATAAACAGAATCAGTTTTATCAAAGTTTTTCTCAATCTCCAGTAGCTATATTCACACCAAACAGTGCAAGTAGTCTGAAGTGCATGAAAATAATATTATTAATGGCTATTGGCCAAGATGGAGAAGATATGAATCCTCACATTTGATGTACTGCTTCAGCCAAGATTCTTGGAAGGTCAAAATGAACAAATATTCCCAGTGAGTAATCTTGTAAACCCTGCATAAAAACACATTCACAGTACAAAGCATTCATGGGAACAGTATACTAGATGTTCTGATCTTGAAAGCCTCTTTTTAAAAAATGAACTGGGTTTGGGGAGATTAACCCTAAATGTAAATAGAGACATTGGTAAAATGTCAAATCCCAGCCAATCTATGCCTCTTTCACTGTCCAGCTGAGACAGCTGCAGGCTCTGAAAATAAATGGGTACTTTTCCAGTGGGAAAACACACTGTCCCAGTATCCTGGAGGCTGGCAGGAAAAATCAGCTTAGCCAAAGACCAAATGATCTTATTCAACAACTATGATTCCCACGGAAATAGAACAAGGTCCCTGATAATGTCAAAATAACAACAAAAATGGAAACTGAAAATATGACAGTGGTCAAACGACACAATACATAAGGTTTCACTTACTACATTACAAAGAAATCTGCTCAGTGAATGTGTACAGCAAGATATTATACTTCATTGCTCATTTAGCAACAGCAGAGTAAACGAAAAGCAGTACTGCGGGGCTATCAGCCAACACTATCCCTTTTGAAGTTTGCTCAGCAATCAGACATCAGGATTTGTTATTGTGAGTTTACCATTAGGAAGAAAACCATATACTAATTCTGGGAACTGTACACGTATAGTTCTTGACATGTACTATACCGAATTCCACAGGGAGGCAACTTAAATTATCCTACCATAATATGGGAAGAATGCAGCACTTTTAGATCCCACTAATTTAAAGATGAGTATCTTAAATAACAGAGGGTCGTGTTTAAACTTCCTAATGCACTTAATGGGGCTTGGGAGTGTTTATGTTCTATCTCAACCAGCAGTTCCAGCCAGGGGACAAGATTGAAACCCAAAAAGGAAGAGAGTTATGTAGCAGGTCATGTACCAGTTCCAGATCCAGGAATATTACATACCCAGCAGTGCAAGAGTCCACACCCACTACTGCTGGTGTAAAATAATCTGTGATGTGGGCAGTAAATATATATGGAGGTATGCACAGATGCTGCATAAACCTCCCACTCCTATGTTTATATATAAGGATCATGGCAATAGATATAACATGTCACAGCACAGGAACAGTGGTGTGATGTCTGGGTATAGAACAATCAGTTTCACTAATGCATAAACCAGCCTATAGAAAAGTCAGTATCCAGGCAAGATGAAGCCTTTACCCCATAGGAACTTAAATCCAACCCATTCAAGACTTCCAAGTATCTGTTTAAAGCAAGCTTGTATTCCAGTCATGTTTTTCCCTTTGAGAAGATGATGGCATCTGACTCCAAAGCACTAAAGCAGACAAAATCTAGCATGAAGATGCTGCAAGATTTGACATTTTTCATGTAGCAGCAAGTCAGTATGACACTTGCAAGCATAGTGTAACTAAGTAAAGCTTTGAGCCCACTGATAATAGGCAATGGGTGGCAATTACATTCAAAGATTCAAAAGGAAGGAAATGAGAAATACAGAGGCAGTGAATAGTACAGCCTTGATTTTGGTCCTTGAATTCCACAGTAGACTCCGCATAACCTTCATATAACCTCCAATGACTCATAAATGAAGCTTGAAAGTCTAGCCCTACCATACCCAAACTCACTCAAAATCCCTTGTTTCCACAAACAGACTAAAAATAAAAAGAAAAGAAAGTGACATTTGTGTCTTCACTTACCCACAGCCTTCAATCTAAGAGCATTCAAACATGTTGGTCTACCTTCTCAGCATTCTTGACAATAGATCAAGATTCAGAAAAGTCACAGTGGTCTCTCGTGTGCAATTACTGGCCCTCTTACAGTCTCACCTTATCCAACTTTCTGTTACAGTCCATGACTCTCAAGGCAAGTGATTTCCCCCAATAACTTTTCAACACCAGTCACTCGCAACCCATTGAGGGAGACTGTTGTAAGCTCAGAATCAGGGTACTATAGTCTTTTAGATAAGCATGCATGGCCACAAATGAATTATTATGGTTCTAAATATATAAAAATAAGCTGATGTGATAAGCAATTAATGCTCTTGGGCTAAACACAGGGACAATGGATAAAATCATCATGGGTACAGAAAACCATAAAAAATGTTGCTCAAAATTCTCACCCAAACAAATGTATAGTTCATTCATTTTAATATTATGTATTCCATAAGTTCTTACTGTGCATTTAGGACTTTGTAGTCCTTGTTACTCTTCCTGGCTTAAATAAAATTGATAAAACTCTCTGAAGCACTAGAAACATAGCAATGCAAAACATCCAACTAAGGGTGGAAGAGCATTTTGTTTGATTCATGTTTTTGAGTGAAGTGACCTAATTTGCAGCTCCTGGACTATTACATCCATCCGAATATAATCAGCCTTTGAATTTCCAAGAATTTAGTAATACAGTTCTCGGCTCATAAAACATACCAAAATGTTTTAAAATTTGCATATTTGAGAGTAACATTGATACATGCATTCATGGGAACAAAATTCTTATTTTATTGTGATAAAACTTGATGGGTTTTTTTTTTAAAAGGATATTAAAGTGAAAACAGGACAGAGAAGACTTATGAATGAGTACATGAGAAAGTGGCACTGTCTAGAAACAGACTGATTTGTCTATCCATGGATACAGGGGGTTAAGACAATGGGCTGGTTCAGTCAACCATATCTTGGAGCAATAAGTGAGATGTGAATAACCTTTCCCCCAAGCATACAACCATTATGTCCCTCTCTTCATGAAAGCCTCAACTAAAGCTGGTAGCCACTAATTAACCATTGTTTCAAATTTCTTCCAAACTGGAAAAAAAAAGATTACTGACTTTGGAACATGCCAGGATATTAAAGCAACTTCAGGCTATGGTTCACTATCCTGGCTTGTTTCTAAGCTGTTACCATACTCCCTTGTTTTGCTCATGATGTTTGCTCACAATAGAGTTGTATGTGCAAGCATGTAATTCAGCTTACTGAGCAGAGCTAAGATTGCCCAAACACAATTTAATGCTTGGCAACATCCAAACTCCCATTGTAGCGACACAGACCACAAGGAAAGAAATGTAGGGAAATGAACCCCTTAAAACCTTTTCCAAACTAACATTTGTAAAGGCTTAGCAAAAAAAAGAAAAAGTAGGGACACCTCATGGTTCCCAAAGTAGTTGAACCCTATGAATTTATCGGCAAGGGTTTACTCAAGCCTTCCACTAGAGAGTAATCTGGAGCTCAAGAATGCTTTGCAACACTCACTTTTAGTGACCTTGCCAAGTCACTTCCGGACTCAAGAGTTCCCACTTGTGAAGCAGAAACGATGACGCCTACTCATTTCCCTAGTAAAGTTGCAAGGATTTTAATACTTGCAAAATCTTCGAAGGTGAAAAGAAATGTCACTGATTTTTCTTCTTTTAGCACAGACATTCAGGCATGAGGGGGTGAGAAGAGACACTATAGCACTTAACAGGTGAACCAAGTTAAGACTTCTTATTTAATTGCAATAGTTTTGAGAAATCTTTTTGTAAAAATGTACATACCGTATATACTCGAATATAAGCCGACTTTTTCAGCATATTTTTTATGCTGAAAAAGCCTGCCTCGGCTTATACTCGAGTGAGGCGGGCGGCTGCAGAGGGACAAGCGGTGTGAAAGAAGCAAAGGCAGGCACAGGAGCCGCGGCTGGGAGAGGCGCTGCGCTGTGCCTCTCCCAACTGGACTCCTATGCCTTCTCTTGCGAGCGGCAGAGGCGGAGGGACAAGCGGCTTCTCCTTCCTCTTCCGCCACCTTTTCGGGCTGCTCCTTTCTCCTCCTCCTCCACTTCTCCCACTGTCAACGGCGGAGGAGGAGCGAGCAGCCCAAAAGCAGCCCTTTAGGGTTGTGGTGTGGTGAACCAGCTTATACTCAAGTCAATAAGTTTTCCCAGTTTTTTGTCCTAAAATTAGGTGCCTTGGCTTATATTTGGGTCGGCTTATACTCGAGTATATACGGTAATATGACGGTTATGAGAAATCATCTTACATCATTCTATGGAGAGATCCCCCGCCCCCCGCCATTAAAATTGGCTATTTTACTGTTTCAGAATGATGGGGTATATTGTGAGCCACAGTTTTCTCCAAGCCTTTAATTTATTAGGGGGTGATGGAACCAGGCCTGGAAAAGGAATAAACAAGCAGAGATATGACAAAACGAAGGTGGTGGAAGACATGACTTTAAAGGCTCAGAATATAAATGAAATGCAAAGTGTATGTCTCTTGAGGGGAAGAGGAGGTGTACACATTCCTCCAACAAAAACTCACAGAAGAGAGAAAAATGATCAATTTTTCATATATCAGTATGTGCAGAGACTCCTCAGGGGAGAGGCTTGGAAAAAATGAAGTCAAAACCGGTAGACATTATGAAGAAGTTGGAAAGAAGAGCTGTGATAAAAGAGCAAATGAAATGGAGATTACTAGATGTTCAGAGAAGTATTTGGTGGGGACAGGTCAGCTCACAGGCTATTTTAACAAGATGACAACTGACACCCGAGCCAGAGCAAAGGCTGCCATCCTAAATAGAGCTTTGGACGATATCACATGCTGTTTACCAACCAACAGATACAAAATGGTGATGCGTAAGTGTTCATGATCATTGCAGAATAATTCATTTTGTTTTGCAGTCAGACTCACTTCTAGCCTTCTTTTTCTACAGCAAACCACAAAGCATAAGGCAGATTGTTCTACGTCAGCCATCTTCAACTCAGCATTTTCCAGATATTGGGACTACAACTCCCTTCATCCCTGTCTGCTGGTCATGCTGGTTGGGGCTGATGGGATCTGGAGTCTAACAACATATGGAGGGGAGCAGGTTGGGGGAGGCTACTTTAATTATTTAGATGAATCTGGTTGTTGCACACTCATTTTATGGACAGTGCATTATGGTTAACCAAAAAGATCTCTTTACCCTGGCCTCTGGCATATGAGATAGATAAATAGATAGATATTTAGGACCCACCATATTCTTTTAATTCTGTTTCTTTTACCTGTTATTAATATTGTATTTTTAAATTGCTGTAACCCATCCTGATATCCTGGAGTGAAAGGCAGTTAAAAAATTGAATCAACAATAATGATGACAATTATCATCACACTACTGGCTAGGGGAGAGAAAACAGCAAAGTTTATGTGTGTGCCTATTTTGCTATGTGCAAACCTACAGCCAATTAAAGCTTCCCGAGGCTTATACCTACAGTAAAACAAGTATGATAGCTATGCACACACATTAATTTCCTATATTAGTATATACCTGTTTAGGAAAACATAATGCAAGAAGTGATTATGTTGTGAATTGAAACTGAAAGATCAGTCAGGCCCTTCTGCAACAGTGGCCATTAATTTCCAAGGTTAAAAACAAGCTTAGCAGTGGTGGTTCTTTGTTAGTGGAATTTGCTCCACAGGAGAGAATCCAACTCAATTCTGAGTGACCCCTTTTAAAGGGGGTCATGGGAAACGCTTTGGTCCCCCCCACTCCATACCAGGCATTTGATCTGTAGGATGCTGGAAGTCAAAACCGAAAAAACTACTCCATTTTATAGTACTTTGGTGTTACTGATTTTAAGAGTGAGTTTTTTAATGCCCAGTTGGTATTACTGTATTTTATATTCCCTGTAAGCTGCTTTGAGAACATCTCTTGAAAAGCAGGATACATATTTAATAATAAGATGTCCTAAGGGGACTGACAACATTGCTGGGTTCAGTGTTTTCCCAAATGCACTACACACCAGGGGCATGAACACAGAGAGACAAATTCGATTTTTTTCACTTACTGAATTAGCTACACGCACACACACACACGTGTCAAAGGTACTCAGTACATTAAATTATCCAGGATCCAGCAAGGCAGTGGTAGATAGGGCAATAAAAAACAATCAAGTAGGTAGAAACTCAGAAGGCAGGCAAAGCAAGCAGGTGAAGTGAGAGTGTGTCTGACAGGCACAAAAGAACAACTGCTTCCCTAATCTCAGAGCAGCAGAAGCTCCTTGGATTTGACAAAGGCCATCAGCAAAGGATTCTCAACTAACTTCATTGCCAAAGGAGAAGAGAACAGGTCCTCTTCCAGAAGACTAGCCGGTAAAAATATACACAGCAGAGGGAAGAATAGAAATTGAGAAATGGAGTCTTGTAAGACTCTACATTAGGATCATTGCTCTTTAACAATCTGGAGTTTGCAGGTATCAGGATATAGTCTGAAGGCATATGAGGTCAACACCTTGCTGAAGCTAAGGAGGTCAGTTCAGTGTTCTGACAGATGACCACATGTACCATTCCTTGAGTTCCATGATGGATTTATTTGAAGACATTTGTATGCCACCTTTCATTTCTTACAACCCTCCCAGGGCAGCTAATAACAAATAGCTTGAAAACCCACCAGAGCAGCAAAGCTAATAACTTCTATGAACCTAATAATAATAATAATTTATTATAATTTATTATTTATTATTAATATTAGTAATAATAATATATTATTTATACCCCGCCCATCTGGCTGGGTTTCCCCAGATATTAAAAACAATATAGCATCAAACATTAACAACTTTCCTAAACAGGGCCCTGAAGATGCCTTCAGTTGTCTTTTAAAAGTAAAATAGTTGCTTATTGCCTTGACATCTGCTGGGAGGGCATTCCACAGGGCACGTGCCACTACTGAGAAGGCCCTCTGCCTGGTACCCTGTAACCTCACTTCTTGCACTGGGAACTGCCAGAAGGTCCTTGGCGCTGGACCTCAGTGTCCAGGCTGGACAATGGGGGTGGAGATGCTCCTTCAGGTATACAGGTATACAGGTATACATGTTGATTAAAACAGTTTAAGCAACATATTGTCATGCTGGACAAATA